TCGAAAAGCTGAAGTATAAGAAAGGGGCAACTTATTTGAATCACCTCCAACTGCGGTGATAAGCTTTATCATGTTTGCTGTAATTTTATGAGCTGTTATATCCATGCTTATAGCTGTTCTCATTGTTTCTTTAATAGCTTCTCGGTTGATGACAATGGTTTGTTCTTGATTTTTAAAACTCCTTATTGAACAGTCCCTGTAATTGTTTTCTGATTCAGACTCTGAACTTAATTCTAAGGAAATTGTTTTAGGTAGATGTACACCATCAGTAGAGTACACTTTAAAACCTCTAGGCTGAACAAATGATTTTTCGCAAAAACTTGTTGGTGCCATAACTTTACTCTGAATCCTGCTATTTCTCTTCTGTTCTATCTCGGCTCTACGCTTGTCAATAGGCCCAAGCGTTATTTTTCTTTCTCCCATTTGATCCTTCAGAAAAAGCAAGTCCTCAGACTTTTCGGAATGAAGCCTACCTTTGTCTGCTTTGATTGCTTTGATAAGACTTTTCTTTGTGTTACTGAGCCAAAACAGTCCTTGAAAATATTTATATTAAATAAAAAATTAACAACTTAAGTAAATGTTTTAAGGTTTATTTAATTTAAACTGGAGGAATGAATTTCAAAGGAGATTATATATAACTTTTTGAATAAAAAGTAGTTAGTACCTATTACAGTCTTTAAAAAGTTAGTGCGAGATTGCACACATCCTGCCTTACTGTTATGTTGGTTTTTCTTGAGCTTCATATATCTGTTAATATATTTTGTTATATTTCTTTGCAGGGTGACAGGTCCAACCATAGGGAAACCAGATATTAGCCATGGAAACCAAAGTGCTCCTTGTACACATTCCTTTGCAAGTAGTATCCAAAGAAGTACACTGGACACTGAATAAAAAAATTTTAAGAATTTGTGACAAAAAACTCACTTATCAGACATTTTTTTTCAATACATATAACTTTTGTGAAACTACATATAACATTATATTTTTTCCTCAATGCTATTGAAGTGTTATTTACTTATAAATAGATATGTTTTTCTGTAGGTTTTTTGTTCATTTTAAACCAATTAAAGTATAAATTATAAATTGAACCTGAACTTGTTGCTGAGAGGACAGCATATAAGACGCTTATTTTGATAACTTGGCCCATTCTTTTCTTTAAGATAAAGAAATTGCTTAATCACATCAGTCTTAGCCGGTAGCTTCATCGAACAGATCTTAGCTGGTTTACCCACCAAAAAGTGCTCCTTGGTGCGAGCACTTACTCTTCTTCTCTTACTAGAATTCTTTTGCATTTTATAAATTCGGAATCTAAAAATACCTGTCCTATTCCTCATAATTTAAAAATGCATTAAGTACATTCTAAAAATATTAGTTTAACGTTATTAAAAATAACTAAACATAAACAACTTTACGAATATATTTTAATAAAAAACCAGCATTAAACTAACTTTGAACCAAAAGCAATGAAAACTTTAAATACTGATTTTTGATAAATAAAAAAAGTGTAGATAAAATATAAATATTCAATAATTGTTAAAAATTGTCTAACTGCATATTTATATGTACCAAACGCAGTCTTTTTAAATTGTCAATATAATTAAATTCTATCATGAGGTTTTGTAAAACAATATTTTTAAAATACAAAATTTATCATAAGTAAATCGGTTTTTTGAACCAAAAAACATCTAGCCTTTTGCATGTTTTTCCCTTGTCCTAATAATAATGATACTCAGCGATTTTATTATTTGTATACTTTAGAATTTGTGGTTTATATTATACTTTATATAGATTGTAAACGAATCTTATTTTTTATTACTTTATCTAAATGTATTTTTATTATTCATAATTTACTTTTCTATTTCATTCTATATCACAATATTTTTACAATAAAATTAAATAATCCCCTCCCCCCCCGTCCATACTATTATGGTTTCCGAAATTTTGTAGCAAAGTGATCCCATAAAGCTAGGGTGCCAATTTTTTTCAAGCTTGCTCTAGACATAGTAAGCTAACAAATAAGTCGTATACATGTTTGTATGTATCTTAGATCTCAAGAAAATTTCAATCTTGTAAAAAGTTATTATTTTTGAAAAACTTTGGTTGGGTGTAGCTAGGTAAAAATTTTTTTTTTTGAAAAATCAAAATAGTATCTTAAAATCACTTATTATTACACATCTTTTTAGCTTGCATACATGCTCTAAAAAAAAATTGTAAAATTTGAACACCCCTATTACATACTGAGTATTTTACAGAGTGCATTTGAATTTTTTTTTTTTTTTTTTTTAAATTCTACTTCTTGAAAATAATGAGCAATCTTGTATTGCAGTTCGAACTGTTGTACGAATTCTTCGATTCTAGTTAAGTATTTTTAGTCTTTGATCGTAACAAAAATGTTTAATTAACGATATTATCTTTGTTGTGCATTGTTGGACGTGTTTGAGAAAACTATTTCTAATTTGAGATGGAGAGGCCGCAAAAGCTATTGCGTAATTTGTCAAGTTTTATAAATTTTGTTTCTTCAAATTAAGTTGTTTTGTACTGTAGCAACTGTAAATAAACTTTTATTGGTTTTACAAGTTGACGTTGTTTTTTCTTTAAGTATTAGAATAGGTTTTATTTAAAATAAAGAATGGCTACCTTGACTACCTTAGTTAAATGTTTGCATACAGGTAATGTTTATTGTATATTTTTGCGTGAATAATCTTGTAGCGTTCAAAAGTTGCGACCATATAAAGTTTGAACCCCTTAATTTAAGGGGGTTAGAAATTTTATAAGGTTAAAATTTTTAAACGCGAAGAGATTATTGTATAAAATTTAGAATTTGCCGGTGAATATAAATTTATTTAAAAATAGTAAAAATGATATTTTATAAACTTGTTACTCTCACGTAAGGGACATTTGAGGTCAAAATATTTGGTCTTTTTTGTTTCCAAGCTCCAATAAGTGCAATTACTTGCAAAGCAAACTGATTTGACTTAAGTATAAACATATAAATGTTTGGAGGTTGCTCTATGTCTGGAAGTTAGTTACCTCTAACATCAACAAATGTGGGATATGCCCCTATTGATAATAGCCCATTCTTTAGCTTCTTAAGCTAAATAATCCAGGCGCATTCTAGTAATACTAGGCCAAATTGTTTTACGTCTTCATAGATAATATTTATGTTGGATTCCTGACGTTTTCTTGGTATATCTATGAAGCGGCATCGCTGACAAAAATAGCATTTTTTTGTGCAATGTTATCACTATTCGTTCAATGCAATTAACTTTCGTTGGATCGAATTGGATTTTATGTGAAGTGTGATTGTTTCTGTAACTTAATCCACTCGACTCAACGGAAGTTAATAACATCGAACAAATATTAATAACATTCAACGAAAAAACTCGTTTTTGATTGAATCGTTAAAGAATTATGACTGGGTTTTAAGTGAGATATCAATCTGGTCTTTAAAGCTATAATATATGATAAATCTAGTCTTCTTTTACAAACTAAAACACTAACATATAAATATATATATATATATATATATATATATATATATATATATATATATATATATATATATATATATATATTTTTTTTTTTATTTTTTTTTTTTTATTGTAGTTATTTTAGGTGCTCCCAGAAGTCCTTACGGTCTTATCACAGAGCACCGCGGGAGAGCATTTAACAGGAAGTTCACGCCTTCCTTACCAATGTCGCTTGTTGGGCTATATATATATATATATATATATATATATATATATATATATATATATATATATATATATATATATATATATATATATATATATATATATATATATATATATATATATATATATATATATATATATATAATATATATATATATATATATATATGAGCAGCCGTGGCGCAGTGGTTAGAGTTCTGGCTCAGAACCCAGAGGTGCGAGGTTCGACGCCAGCTCTAGCCCAACAAGCGACATTGGTAAGGAAGGAGGCGTGAACTTCCTGTTAAATGCTCTCCCGCGGTGCTCTGTGATAAGACCGTAAGGACTTCTGGGAGCACCTAAAATAACTACAATAATATATATATATATATATATATATATATATAATATATATATATATATATATATATATATATATATATATATATATATATATATATATATATATATATATATATATATATATATATATATATATATATATATATATATATATATATATATATATATATATATATATATGTTAGTGTTTTAGTTTGTAAAAGAAGACTAGATTTATCATATATTACAGCTTTAAAGACCAGAGGGATATCGTGCGCGATTGAATCGTTAAGAATTATGACTGGGTTTTTAAGTGAGATATCCCTCTGGTCTTTAAAGCTGTAATATATGATAAATCTAGCCTTCTTTTACAAACTAAAATACTAACATATATATATATATATATATATATATATATATATATATATATATATATATATATATATATATATATATATATATATATATATATATATATATATATATATAGATATATATATATATATATATATATATATATATATATATATATATATATATATACATATATATGTTAGTGTTTTAGTTTGTAAAAGAAGGCTAGATTTATCATATATTACAGCTTTAAAGACCAGAGGGATACCTCACTTAAAAACCCAGTCATAATTCTTAACGATTCAATCGCGTACGAGTTTTTTCGTTGAATTAATATTCGTTCGATGCTATTAATTTCCGTTGAGTCGGCTGGATTAAGATACAAAAACGATCACACTTCACGTAAAATCCGATTCGATCCAACGAAAGTTAATTACGTTGAACGAATAGTGATAACACTGCACGAAAAATGCTATTTTTATCAGCGATGCCGCTTCATACTAGTGTTTACATACTTTACATTTATACTTGTTTTTTCCCCGCCCCTATTGTTACTTGGTATACTCTTAGAAACATTAGCCCATCGTACGCACACAAATTTTTAACTTTGATATTTATGTCATTAAATTTAGTTGAGACAATATGACCACGCGAAATACAACAACAAGTTAAGAATTCGCGAAAACACCCTTCGTAATCGTCTTCAAACATGGAACAGTTAGTAAGTCGCCTGGAGGCAGTTACTAATCGTCTTGAGGCTGTAGCTTCTCGTAGTGGGGGTGGCTCTGTAAAAGTTGTTGCAGGTATAAAAATTTTGTTTTCATCTCCATCTATTTACTATGGTGTTAAAATATATTTGTTATGTGACAAAAGTATTAAACTTTATTTACCTAAATTATTTGGAGTATTTATAACTATCACTGATAAATAAGACCTTGCTTATTGAAATTAAATTATTTCTATTTCATTATTTTAAGTTAAATTTTGTTAGTAATTTTTTCCTTTTACTAAATTAAATAACTTTTTTTTTTTTATTAAATTGTTTTATTAATTTTTATTAACTAATTAAAAATTACCAACAAAAGTTTTTATAATTAATGACTAATTTTTAAAGTTTTAATAGAAATTTTTTTCAATGACAATGGTTAACGTGTTTAAATTTATTTATAGAGTATTATTTTTAGATGATGATCCAGCTTGGTTTGATGATTTTAAAGAAGTAAGATTAAATATATAAATTATTGTATTATTTAAATATAAATTTTCTTTAAAATATTTCATGTTTTGTGCAAAACATTTGTTGAAAACCATACTCTAAACCTGAACTCATCAATAATGTTTTTATTATTGAAAGCCATACCCTTACCAAACCATAAGCCAAATCCTAAGCCTAACCCTATTTTTCAGAGTTAGGGTTTGGTTAGGGTATGGTTTTCAACAATATTTATTTCGTATAAGACTTTTTAAATTTTTTATAGACTTACTAAAGGGATGTGCTTAAAATGTGTCCACCTAAGTTTTACTTAGCATAAGTACATTTACGTCCACCTAAGTTTTACTTAAACATCTATTTTTATACACAAGTTTTAATGGGATATCCCTAATGTTATTTTTTGTTCCAGGAATAATTGTGATTTCCTATGTAAACTAAAAATTTCAGTTATACTATGAAAATTTTAACATTAAAAATTATTATTTTAATAGATAGATAATACAAAGGTATAATGTTACAAACCAGCAAGACATAAAGTAAACAAATAGTTTTTTATTGATGGTATTACTTAGGATAACAGGCTTGTAGCTAAGCTAAAATATTAGAGGATTTTGGTTTTTCTTTTCTAAAAATTTTTCTTTTCCAAAAATTTTTTTCAAAAAAAGTTTTTACAAAACAAATTTAAATTTTGCCCATCTGCAGTTGGCTTAGTATGGCTTTTTTATGCTAAACTTGAAGATCCTTCTGATTTTGAATGCTAAAACTATTTGACTTTTTATTAGATTAACAGATGTTTACTGAAATTCCAGACTCATTTTTAAAGGCAAATACACCCTTAGTTATTAAGCTAGAAATTGAATAAAAATATTGTTAAGTATAATTTAACTATACTCATGTCTTTTGATTGCCAGTACATTTCCTTTTAAAATAGCTCAAAAGTCTTTGACTAGGCAACACTCTAGCACAGCTGGTGGATTGTCAATTTTTTTGAAAAAATTGATTTCATGAGTTTTGTAGCAGTTGGCCACAGTTTATATATAATGTATGTATATGTGATATATATATATATATATATATATATATATATATATGTATATATATATATATATATATATATATATATATATATATATATATATATATATATATATATATATATATATATATATATGTATATATATATAGAGGCCTCGGCAGGCATGGCTGGTGATCGCTTTTGCCCCCCCCCCCCTCCTTCACACCGGTGTAAGTCTGTAAAGCTTGTGCGATTTTTTTTTTTTAAACAGCAAAATTTAATATTTTTTAGGTTGAGTTGCATAAAAATTATATAAAATAAAATAGTTAAAATATAGTTACTTGCACATTTAAAATAAAATAATTGCTTTTAATAAAAGTTTTAATAAATAAGTATTACATAGTTATGCAATGATAAAAAAAGAAAAAAAAGTTTGAAGACTTTTTAAAAATGCTTTGATATGATTATTTTTAAATAAACTTGCTAAGTTCAAATAACCAGCATAAAAATTTAATTAAAAAACATCTAAAAAAAAACTACAAAAAAAAAATAAACTGCCTAAAGTTTTTTTAATAAAGTTCTTATGTTAGCTAAAGAGAAGAACTAAAGAGCTTTAGTAGTGTTTAAAAAGCTATTTAATTTTTATATTTTTAATTTAAAACTTTTTAAAAATTAAATATACTTTTAATACGCAATATTTTTATAATTGCGTTTTTAACTGAAGAACTAAATAGCTTTAGTAGTTTTTAAAAAGTTATTTAATTTTTATATTTTTAATTTAAAAAATAAAATATACTTTTATTAACTTAAAATCTAAAATACCACTTAATCAAAGTGAAAATAATTGATACACTAATATTTAAAACTTAAATTTAATCTTTTTTAATAAACAGCAATAAAAGTTTGTTCATATAAATTTGAATTACATAACACAAAAACAATTTTAAAGTTATTCAACTCACTTGTTCAAGGTTTAATTACAAAAGTCTTTTCCTATAATAACTAAAGCTCAACATGGTTTTGTTCCCAAGGGAGAATGTGTTAAAATCTTGTTGAAGCATGTGACATACTATCACCTAAGTTTCCCAACCAGTGTGATTTGCACAGGTTTTGGCAAAGCATTCAACAAAGTCCTACATAAATACTTGTTACACAAACTGCAAGCTTATGGCATCAGTGACCCTCTGCTAAAATGGATTGATAAATATTTAACTGGTTGGCTATAGAGAATATTAGATTAACATCTGAGTGGATCCCATTGACTAGCAGTGTTTCATTGTGCTTCTTCTTGGTCTTTGGTCTTGTTCTTCGTTCAACCCTTTTTTGTCTTATTTATTAACAATTTATTATACAAGATACCATAGTACATTTTACTAAACTTTATGTTTGACAACATAATGTTTAGTAACCTGACAACAGTAAAATTATCAAGTCATAGTCAAGTCATTTATAATATGTCACCCTCCTTCAAGCTGACATAGATAAAACTGACTAATCCAAAAATGGCTAATGCCTCTTAAAATTGATAAATGTAGACTAATCCATGCTGCAGGCCTTGTTTTAAAGCATTAGGCTGCTCACAATTTACCTATGCAATAAGCTATTTTACATATGCCTAAAGCAATTTTGGTTATGCGACTTTTTATCATTATTAAACTTTTAAATTTGTCAATAAGCAGTAATTAAAAATTTTAGCTTATGAAAAACTGTGTGTTTTATTACTTTTGAAGTCAAAAGTTTGTTTCGTTTTTTATGACTTTTTGGTTTTTTATGGTTTTGCATAAACTAAAATTTCGAAGACCAGGTATTTTTCCAAATACCACAGTTCACAATCGCTTAATTTAACCCTTGATCATGTTTGCAGCATACCTGTGTCGACATATACAAGCCTGATGTATTCTTCATCAGTTTAAACTACATTTTTAAAAGATAAATAGTTATTTATTCTTCATTATGAACTGGACAAGGCAGTAATTAATAATTATATATATATATATATATATATATATATATATATATATATATATATATATATATATATATATATATATATATATATATATATATATATATATATATATATATATATATATATATATATATATATATATTCACAGTGGTGTACAGTGGATTTTTAGATGTTTGAATTCTGCGGTAGAAGGAGAGTCGCTTTAAAATTGTATTTTTTCTACATTAGTTCGCAATTGTTATATTTTTTAACATATCTCTCATATTTAAATATTATCTTATAGTTTTCTTGTTTAGTGGAGTTTAAAATAGTGTAGCTTACTGTTATGATTTACAGCCTAATTTATATTTTAAGTTGCAGTTATTGTGTAATGAGCAAGTTATGATATAATGAAGAAGTAGTATTATTATGATATTACTTTTAGTGTTTTTACTTAACTTTCTTAAAAAAGTAAAAGTAAAAACAAAAATATTACAATATTTAAACTAATTAGTTGTAGAAAACTATTTTCATGCTGACGATAAAACAATTGTTATTATAAAACATCTTTGTTACGCAGTTCGTGTTGCTGTTTTGTAAAGTTAAGTTTAACATTATTAATATAAAACGCTCTTAAATAAAACATATTATATAAACAGAAATGTTTAATTTAAAAAAAAATGCATGCATATCCGTAGACTAAACAAGTAGGTCCAAAACAAAAAAACTAGATACCATGTTTTTTAAAATTTATTGCAATTACAATTAAAAATCTAAGTATATTAAACGTACTATTAAAAATTTTACTATAAATTATTTTTTCATTCAAATGGTTTAACGTTTGCAATAATCACTGGTTTAATTCTTGCAATAGAATGTTTCTTCTTAAAAAACAATTTTCGAAAAACAAATAAGAATTTACTATTTAAAATGTTTACAATTTAAATAAATTTTCTTTCTCACTTGCACTATGTTCTAAATCTGATATTGTTACTGTAGCTAGATATATGTTTAACTTTCAGGAATGACCCTTTTCAATGACTTTCATCGTTTTCCCCCACTACTCTTTATATAAGATATAAATAAACATTTGTATGGCTAACTTTTGCGAGTCTTTGAGTATATTAAGTAAATTGATATAGCTGATAAGTTAATATTTGAGTAACTGTCAGTTACTATTTTATCTTACTCTCGAGTCCCTAATGCAAGGGGGGGGGGGGTGTTTATTAATTTTTGTAAAATTTTCCCACCCACCCCAAGCTTCTTCCCCCGTTTATTAATTTTTACTTGTTATCAAAAAAAAAAAAAAAATCAGCCTTGAAAATTAGAAAATATTTATCACAATCACTGATAAAAACAAAAATTTTCAGTGTAAACAGGCTTTAAAAATTACAAACCAAGTATCCTAATTTATCGAAAATGAGCTTTTAATTTATTTCTTACCAAAGTATAAAATTATTAAATCCTATTGAAATTATTATAAAACAGCTGTTAGAAAATGCGCATTTGACCGCAAGCCATGCTAAATTTTAATAGTTTTATGCATGTTTTGTAATAAATATTAATTTAGATTTATAAACTAAAATCTTTTATAAAAAAATTTGTATTAAAGACTTAAGAGTAACTGGTTGTTTTGATTTAGTTTAAAAGTAAATTTACTGTGATATACTTTATTTATTTAGTGAATCAAAGTAAATATAACTTTAAATGGTTCAGGGTCGTTAAAGCGAAAACGTTGGAAGCAAAAAAGTTACTGGTTTCTATTAGAATTCATTTACTGTAAGAAAAAAAAATTAATAAAAACCAATTTAATATATATTTTAATATACTTAAAGAAATAAAATTATAAATATAAAATTGTTGATAAAATAATAACTTAAATTATTAATGATAAGTTAATTTGGTGCAACGTTTTTAAAAACCAAAGATAAAAACCAAGCAGTTTTGTTAAAAAAAAAAAAAATGAAAAAAAAATCCCTTTCACTTTAATGACCTTTTAAAATATTATTGGCTTCCACGCAGAAATTTTAAAGTAATTTAAATTCAAAAAAGCTTTTCATTGAATAAAAATCTCTGCGCGAAAGACCAAATAATCATGCTTCAAAAAATAAATTTAGCGTGACATACTTTATGAACCCTAATAAAAAAAATTAGGGTTCATAAAGTACAGTAAAGTATATTATATATATATATATATATATATATATATATATATATATATATATATATATATATATTTATGTATATATATATATATATATATATATATATATATATATATATATATATATATATATATATATATATATATATATATATATATATTTATGTATATGTATATAGTGAGAGAGAGAGAAAAAGAGGGGAGAGAGATAAAAAATGTGTTTATTGTGCAAATTAAAAGTATAAGAATATAAATTTTTAAAAATGTTTCTTTAGTATAATGCAAAGACTTTAACTGGCTTTGTCAATAGTACCATAGCTCTTGGTGGTGATTTGGAACATTTGGTATGTTATTTTAAATTAAGTGAAATAAATTAGAAATGACAATTTAAAAAGTTATGTGACAAACATTTAAAACATTGAAAATTTTAAACAAAGTTTATTTTTATCAAAATTAAAAAAAGCTTTAAAATAATTGTTTTAAGATAAATTTGTTTATATAATTTTTTTAAATAAATTGGTGTATATAATCTTTTACTTTTTAATCAGTTAGGTTTAAATGGTTTCGAAAAAAACTAATATTTATATATTTTTTCTCAAATTACTAAAGTTTTAGTTGATTTTCAAAAAGTATTTTTTTCAGACCTTTCTTTATTTTTGTACCAACCTAAATCTTGCTTAATTTGTTTTAAAACTTTTTTAAAATTTTATTAGGGCAAGTTAGTTGATGATGCATTTCGTTCCCATATGACCTTACTGGAGATAGCTGCACACCATAATCGTCCGAGTCAGGTATTCAATAACAAAAATACTTAAAAAAACAGTTTAAAATTTAAAATTTATTTTTATTTATTTTAGTGCTTAATACTAACATTTTTTAAATTATAAATCTGTTGATATTAGTTGTTAGCTTTAACTATAAGTCATTAACGATCAATATATAGCTCATAGGTCTTTATTAAATTTTAATGGTAATTAAATTTTATTTTTATTTAAGAAACATTAAAGTTTCAAGCAATAAATCAGACATATGAACTCTATGAAGGCACATTATCAATCCACTCTGACAAAAGATACTTGTCAAATATAGATTTCTAATTTTTGGATATTGTTTCATAGTGTACAGTTTTTTTAAGGGAAAATATTTTTGGTTAAATTTTAGTGATTTATTTGTTCAAGATTTTGTTTGTAAAACATGTTTTTCTCTATTATTTGCAAAAAATTTTATATTTTGGTAAAGGGCTTTTGAATCTGAATTGCAACACTATTTTTAGTAGATGTCAAAGTGGCGCTGGTGTTGTTCTTGAACAAATCTTTGATAGTTACTGAACTATCAAAGAAAGAGAAACTATTGCTTGTTATTTCAAAGTTGGATTTTATGAAAAAAATTAATGAAAAAAACTTAACGAAATTTACATTACTAACAATTTTTTTAAACAGATTTAGATAAGTTGAATAAAAACAGTATAAATAAATTTAAAAAAAAATTATAATTTAAATATAATGAAAACTCTTTTCAAAAAACCTTTAAAAATACTGTTTTAAATTTTAATCACATATTCAGGCTTGGTCGGGAAGCGGGTGCGATCGCACTCGATAATTGACCATGGAAATAATATTTAGTTGCGTAAAACCGGCCAGATTTTTCAATGTTTTGAGAACATTTCAAAAAGAAACAAAAAAGCGCAACAAGATTAACTGGATCGTTGAGAGACAGTTAAAAAAAGAAAATAGCTTTTAACGCAAAAAAACTTTAAGAAAAAAAAATACGGTTAGAGCAATTATTTTTGAAACAATTTGAAAATCTTTGATTTTTTTTAAAAAATTAAGTGACATTTTTTATATAAAGTCACAACTTACTATTAATGATTGTTTAATAACAAAACAAATGTTCTTTAATTTATCAAAGAGTATATAATTTTTATTTATATACTTATGTTTTATTTCCAGTGCTGGATTAAGGTGGGGAAGGGGGAGGGGGTAGAAGCGCTAAAGCCCCGGGACTCACTATATTAGAGGCTACAAAATAGTCAAAAGGACCCTAGATGATTTATTTATAAATAAAAAAGTTTTTTTAATAACTGTTTTATTTTTCGCGTAGTTAGAAAAGTTTAACACATTTGAAACTATTCTTTTTAGTAAGATAAACAAATAAAATAATTAAATCATTGAGTTACTGTAGAATTTCAATTAGCTAGATAGAAACTAACTAAAAACATTAATTACTTAGTGAGGAGGAAGTGGAACTGCTTCACATTACCGCTGATAATGTTTAGTGAGTGAGCTTTACACTTTTATAGTATATAGAGTTTGTAAGAATGGCTGAAGCAAAAATAATTGAAATTAGTAAACCAATTTCTAAGAACTTAAAAACTTTTCTTTCTTGGGGGAAAGAATCATTTATCTGGTACACTGAGGAAACTGGATCAGTGGTTAAAATTATTTGTATTAACTTTGATGATTATTAATAATTCCATTGAAAACGCAGTTATTATTGAAAGTATTTTTGTTTACAAAATCAATCACACAAATTGCTTTGAAAGATTACATTTGAATAAAATAAACATACATAAAATTACATACATTAAAATATATTACATACATAAAAATACATTACATACATAAAAAATGCATCCCTTATACATAAAAAATAATATACTAATAAAATTGAAAATATATTTACAAAACCTTGACAAGTTTAAAAACATAAATTTAGAACATTTATTTTTGCAAACAATTAATGTTAGTTTAAAACATTTATAGCTTTGTAGATGTGGCTCCGAGAGTGACATAGTATTAAAATAATAGTTTGTTTGATAGTACGTTCTTAAAACAATTTATGCTAGAAATCTTGACGAAAACATAACAAAACTCAAATAATACAATTTTTTAAATTAATTCAACAGAATACTCCAGAACATTCAGTTAGTATTTTTTGAATACTCTAGAAATTTCTGCTGGTATTTTTTGAACCAATAGAATTAGTTGTTCGTAGATTTGGCGGGTTTTTTGTGTTCACGAATATTCTTTTTTTTATTTTTCCGCACAAAGTTTGAGAACATTCGAATTTATGTATGTTTCCATGTAAGTCCGTAAAACAAAATATTCTAAAATTTACAATAACTTAATAATTATTTTGCGGACAAACAAGGAAACATACATGAACTTAAATGGTCTCAAAACGACTAAAAAATCTGGCCGGTTTTTCGCAACTAAATATTGTTTCCCTGGTCAGTTATTGAGTGCGATCGCACCCGCTTATAAGTTTTAACTAATAAAAAGCGTTAAAACATATTGTGTGAATAGATGTAATAAATTCCCATTAACAAATCATGTCATTAATTATTGCTTTAAAATGGCTAGTAAAAATGGCATTTTAAGCAGTGACATAAAACATAAAATTAAGTTCTAAAGCTTTCAATTAAGTAAAAGTAACTCTTAAAAACAAAATCAACTGTAATAAAATTTTTAAAATGCAAACACAAAAGAAAGTTTTGAATTCTTGAAGAAAAGATGGAAGGCCAAGGCCAAAATATTCAAGGCCAAGGCCTTAATTTTTGGACTTGATAAGGCAAGGACTTACAACTCTGGTTTACATAATGCCATTTAATAAAATAAAATATCTTTTATAATGCTATATAATATTTTATTGCGATGTAAAATGTTTTCCTTAATGCCATTTACTTTATGGATTTTCTTTTTTTTACATATATTATATTGTAGTATATTATTATTTTTTTAAATATTGTAATTAACTAAAAATGTTATTTTGTTTTGATTTTTCAGGCTGATTTCGAGGCATTATTAAAACCTTTAAGTGAAGCCATATCCAAAGTACAAGTAAGAATCATTTTTTAAGTATTTTGACCTAAAAAATTGAGGTTTTGGGTAAAAAACGCTATATACGCAGTTTGCCACAACTTTTGACCGGTTGCTCTGATTGACTCAAAAATATCTTTTATGGAATCCTCGTTCCCAAATACCCCTAATTAGACACCTAAATAATCATTTTAGCTTAAAAACTTATAATTATAAAAGTTGAAAAAAATCATTATTTTTGATATATTTTGCTGGAATACCTTCCATAACAATGTTATGTGAATGTAATGCAGCAAAACAGTTTCAAAGGATTTCTCAACCACAACGCGAGGCACAACCAATTTGAAACATGAAAAATCATTAATTATTGTTTATAGCAGTATTTACCAATTTATCATTCACAATGCAAGAGTAAACTTAATTTTACTAAATATATAATAAATATAAACTTATTGCTTATAAAAGCTTAAGCAAATTCTGTTTAGGTTCTAAAACAGGAAGAAGTTCTCTGTGAGCTATTGTTGCCTTTATAAATCCGTCTCGTCTTTCCTGTTCATAAACTATGCTAGAAGCTCTTGTAACTTCTTTCACAATTCTTTCTATGGATTGCCCATGTACAAGAATAATTCCTAGGGAGCTCGAACTCCTTATTGAAAGTATTTTATTCATTGCAAATTTCCTCTCCTCTTTATCTTTGCTGCATAGTAGTGCTTGTAAAATAAATTCACTATGAGCATTCAAGGCAGAGGAGCAAACAGGGCAAAACTGCTTGTTGAATATTTAAGTTCATTTTTCAGACAAGTTCCAGCTGTTTGATAATAGGTATGGTCCATTGGTCCACTTATGTTTTACCTAAACATTAATAATACATTTTTCAAAAATAAATAGACGATTATCAAACTACATATAAAGATTTCTTACTTTAATTTCAAACCATAATACAGAATATACACCAACACAAAATTGTACAAGTTGTTTTATATTCTCAACATCGTTATTATTTAGTTCATGCTCTGAACACCAAATTCTGCAAAGTCTACTTGCCAAATTCAACAAGCGTGCGTTATTGTGGGGACCAACTTGAATTTCTTTTAAAATTTTGGGCATTATTTTATTTTCATTAGCCTTTGTTATTCGGTATAGATATTTTTGATCACTTGATAAAGTTTTTAAAATATCTTCATCAATATCTAATAAATTAATTTCAGTATCTATATCTTGAATCACAGTGGAAATTATGAGATCATTAGCAATAGGAACAAGTTTACCAATATTGCCAGAAAACTTGTTATTTGAAGTTGTTTTTCTGTCAATAATTGACATTAAGTGCCTCAAGGGTAGTTCATTTGTGTGCAAAGCACAAACTATCCAAATAAGTTTTGTTTGAAGTTTTTTTTCTAAAAAAGGAATGATACCTCCTTTCCAACCTAAAAAATAATTGTGTTTAAATATATGTATGACATTTATTATTAAATATTTACCTGTATTTATTATCAATCATTTACCTGTATTAAGATTTGTAGAATCACAGCCTGCAGCAACTAGAGTTGATTCTACCCTATGTTCAATAATCCATTTATATATATGTTCTGCTATGTGCTCTGCTGGGGTATTACACTCAGATTGGTTTTCTTTATCATTTGTAAAATGGTATATAAACCACCTGGCTCTGCACAAACTGGATAATGGTCTTCTTGAACAAGTCTGTGGTGAAATTTTCCATCTTCTCCCATCAAAAACCATTTTGTCTCATCCTTTCTTCCATCAAATAAAATGCATTGAACTCCATCTTTTACAACATCATTTTCAGATTTTAATTGTTTCATCACCTTCAATTTAGATCTTTCAATTTTCTTATGATCTGTCACTATTTCACTGTCAAACACTTTCTTTTTAAGAAAGCTTGACAGTGAAATAGTGCTTCTGCTTCTTTAGCTGCTTTCAGTGCTAATGTTGAAATAGAAGCAGTTGCTCGATTTGATACCCCATATCTTATTGATCCAACTTCTTCCATATTCAATGTCTTTTTCGAAACTTGTCTACTAATGTACTCAAAACTATTGTCAGAAACAACATCTTCATTGTCAGTATTCACAATATTATCAATTGTTTCTTTGATTTTTTTTTCTTGAGAATGAAAAGATAGGTATTCTATTTATGGCTTCTTTTATTATGGCCTTTCTTTTATTATGGCCTTTCTTTTATTATTTTTTTCTTGTCTATTGGTTTCTTTAAAATCCGAAGCACCCATTTGCATACTACTTTTTGTTCCAAATTTTTCTCTTTGAAATTTCATAAACTGAAGTTCTATTATAGGAGTTTTGTTTTCTCTATTGCATTGACAAGAAATATGCGCTTTAAAATTACAAGAATTACAACTAGCCTCCTCACAAGAAACAATGTCACGCTTGCACTTTGCTATATCAAATAGCTTGTCCAGAGTAGAGTTAAACTTAGAAACAATTTCAGGTTTACACCTGTAGTTAATAATATCGGTAGCTTTCTTCCATACTTTTATTATTTTATTAACACCCAATTTGTCCGTCACAATAGGAATTTCAGGATTTGCTTTCAACCATTGTGTTTTCACTTTAGAGAAAACCTTTTTGCATGTATCTTTAAGTTTTGCATTTGCTTTGCAGTTTTCATCTCTTCTTAGAAGCAGACCATACTTTATAACATCTCTTAATGTGGGGTAACTCAAATTGGGCAAAACCAATCATAACACTTAGTTTGCAACTTTGACTATTTTTATGTGTTCGTTTAGCCATTGATAAAGAACTCAAAGCTATCAATAGTTTATAAACAATATTTATTGTAGATTTAACGTTTCAACTCAAATGCAGCAAATTTAGATGCTAAAGCATTGGTTTAAAATACGGCAATTCAAATGCAGCAACTTATGAATGATATTTCATATAATCTACTAAATAAATTTAAGTTTAACCAAAACATCTTATTGTAACTACGTAAGATATTCCAGCAAAATATATCAAAAATAACAATTTTTTTCAACTTTTATAATTATAAGTTTTTTAACTAAAATTACTTTCTAGGTGTCTAATTAAGAGTATTTGGGATTGAGGATTCCATAAAAGATGTTTTGAAGTCATTTGGAGTAACTGGTCAAAAGTTGCGGCAAATTGCGTATATAGCGTTTTTTACCCAAAACCTCAATTTTTTAGGTCAAAATTTGAAAACCTGAAAATAATTTTTTTTTTTTTTTGAATTACTTTTATATAAAGGCCAACCCATTTAAAAATCATATGGCATTTACTAAAAAAAGTTGAAAAATGACCTGCCCTAATATATATATATATATATATATATATATATATATATATATATATATATATATATATATATATATATATATATATATATATATATATATATATATATTATGTTTTTAAAAATTACAATGTTATGGGAAATGCTTTGTAAATTATTAAATACATAAATTATTATGTATATTAAATAAACAAATTATGTAATTAAAAACATAATTAAATATGTAATAAAAATGTATAATAAAAATACAAAATTATTAAATAGATCAGTTACTATGTAAATATATTAAATACATAAATTATTAAGTTTACTTATTACTTTATTAAGTAAAGTAACAAATTAATTATAATGTTTACAATAAATACATTTTATTTAAATTATTATACGTAATTACATTTATGTAAATATGTATTTTTTATTTTACATTTATGTAAATATGTATGTATTTTTTTATATCTTTTCAAACTTTTTCTAGGATTTTTTTATAAACTTTTTTAATAGTAAACATTTTTAGCACAAAAACAGATGTTATGTAACTACTCAAATTTAATAGTGTAGTAAAAAGTACTGGTTTCTATAAGCATAAAATAACTATTACGTTAAAATTTTTATGAAATAGATTTAAATAGGGTTGTAAAAACTAAAATATTTGTTTGAAATTTATAATAACCATTGGACAAAAAAAAAAAAAAAGTACTGAACTATAAATTTAAATTAATAAGTAATTGCCACATTTTAATATAAGTGATAAAAACCGGGCTATATAATTCAAAAAAATGTAATGCTTTGGTGTCTTTTAAGAAATGAGTTAACTCAAAAAAATGATGTATTTTGTTAGCGTAGCCGTGTGTTCAACTTCAATTTTGTTTTGTATATAAAAAAAAAGTTCAAAAAATAAAGTTTGTATACAATACTGAATTTATTAATAATTTTGGAACAACTAAAATGATTAGAAAATAAATGCATATAAAATATGTTGGACAAAATGACCAATAGATGTTGTTTTTTGCCGGACAATGTCTGATGTCCAGCGCCTATTTTGAGCCCTGTATATATATGTATATATGGACAATTCCATTATTAACTTACGTTACACGCGCAACAACTTTATCAAATATTTGCCTATTTAAATTGTAAATTAAACTTTTAGCTATTTTGTATGAAAGCTGTTAGTCTAAAGAATAAAATTAGCAAAAAAATTTTGAGTCTGGCCAAAAGAGGGCCAACTTATTACTGAAAATGCCACTTAACTTATGTTACACAGAAAACAGGTAAAAAAATTGCTTCAACTTTAAGGTCATATTTCTGCGAAACAGTAAAGCGGTTTGTATTAGAAACTTTCACAAGATGTTAAGAATTCTATGCCAATTTAAAAAAGATATAAAATTTTATCAGAGGTGATCGGGTAAGGAAAATAAACTGTTTTTTTTGGTACTATATATCTAACTTTGGTTACGTCATTTATGTTAACTTGCGATTGTTATCGTGGATTTTTTACTTCTATTATTTTGAGTTAGAGTTACGTAACAAAACAATTTCAAAGGTATTGAACTTATTAATTAAAAATAATTAACAAAGGAAATTTAAAAAAACTGGTGGCACTCTTCCTGAGTGATTTTTCATAACATTTATAAAAGTTATCAAATCGAAAACAGTTTTTCCGCAAGACCAAAAGCAACAAAAAAATTGTTTTAGTATTACAATTTTTTAATACTTATTTGAGTCGTTTAAATAAGGGGTTGTCCATAAAGTACGTACGCTCGGAGGAGAAGAGGGGTCTGCAGATATGAGGTGGAAGGGCAGTGAGTCAATTATAAAAGTAAGAAGACACTAAATTTAAAAAAAGATCATAAAATGTTGGGTAAGTAGGTTAAAAGCGTAGGTACTTTTAGGGAGGTGGAGGGTATTTGAAAAAGCGTATATTAAATTGTGCGTGGGGGGAGGGGATATAGGTGGAGGGAGGAGGAGGTTGAAACAAGCCTACGTACTTTGGGATCGTCCATAAATTATGTAACGCAAAATTAATCTTATTGACAAAAGACAAAGGATTAAAAGTTTGCTTTCGCAGAGTCTTTAATACAATCAGTATTAGTATATAAACACCCTTTCAAGTCCAACGAAAACCACCGCGCAAAGGAGCAAAATGATCTCCAACTTTTATATTTTAAATAAGTTTTGTATTATGTAATTTATGGATGGGACGATCTCTTTATGGACGACCCCTAAGAAAATCTTTGGTTTGTCAAAGTTTTTACTTACACTCCTTACATTTATGTGTATTGCCTTTTTTTCATTGGTTGAATTTTTAAAATGCTGCAAAATATTTATATTTAAATCTTTTGAAATATTTTTGAAGAAAAACTGTTTGTCAGGAAGAGGGATTCAAGTATATGTGATTGTTTGTGACAGGAGGGAAGGGGTTAAAAATTGACAAATATAGGGTGAGATGCTTTATGGATGACCCATAATAGCATTTACAAACAATTTGTTTTACTTAAACAAAAATAAAAAAAATTATGATTTTTATTATATTAGGAGAATAGCAAATAAATCTGTTTTTTTTTTTAATGTCAATTTAAATACAAATTTTTATATAATTCTTAGTTTTATTTATTTATGTGTATTTATGTCAAATAAAATAAGAATACATAAACAAATAAAAAGTAATAGTATAAATAATTTTAATTAACATTAAAAAAATATATATTTTTTTCTAAATTCTAAATATAAAAAATTCCAGTTAAAACCTTGTCAACGAAATAATAGTTACTTAATGTAATAATTCATTTTGTTAACGAAAATAAAACCAAAATAACATAATAAAACATTGTTATTTATCATCTTGCAAGCGCAATAATATTTATATAGAATAGACTATTCATCATAAGAAACAATATCAGAAATAATTACTGAATTTAAAAAAAACAACTAAAAAACAAAATAATAAATTATTTGCTAAAAAATACACGTTAATTTTGTTATATATTAGTGCCACTTTTGATATTTTAATTTTTTTTTTTTTTGTTTTTTTTGTTTTTTGTTTTGTTATAATAATTGATTTTATCAAAAAAAAATGAAAAAATGTTAGTTATTACAAACTTTAAATGACATCTTATAAAGAGTTTATTATTTTATATTTAAATAGAAAACTTCTTGTATGCATATACAAGGATTATCTTTTACAAGATATTTCCGGAATTCCAGATATTTTTCTCAACTTTCAGTTTTTCAAAACGTTCACTATACATACACATTTAGGTGTATATTTGTGTAATATATTTGTTTTGAGGCTTTTTCACTCATACAAAATTTAAGGAAAGTTAGAAAAAAAATTGGACATAACTCAGTCAAAAGCAAAATTAGGATGAAAATAAGGGGAAACATATTCAAGATTTTTTCCAGATATTTTACCCAAGCAATTTTCCGGATTTTCAAATTATGACCTGAATGATTTATGCAACTTGAATTGCAATTAAACAATAAATTGCAGTTGCAATAAATTGTAAATGCAGTTTATTGCAAAATGGGGTCCTAGGAACATTGGGCACGATATCTGTAGCTTCCAAAACTAGTTTTTCTTTCTGGCAATAAGCTAGAAGACGCGTCAAATCTATTTTTTCATCAAAATTCCAAGGGTACAAACCACATTTTTTGAAGCCATTTTTAATACAAATTTATGAATTTGGGAAATTATCAATGGCCGATTTCAGAAGTTGTCCTAAATTTAGTTTTCCACTCTTGCTTGTGGGTCCAAATTTTTAAAACTCTCTAAAACTTTGTACCAAATTTGTTTTAATGGACCAAAAAAAGTACAATCCAATGGCTGAAAGATTATGGTTGCGTTCGGTAGGAGAGATGAGAATTAAATCGTTTATTTTGCAATATTAGGCAGTCTTGATGTTTACATGAACATCAGCAAAAATTAAGACAGGTCTTTTAACATTGTTTTTGTCAAGCTATTTGACAAATTCTCGTTAAATGTTTTAGAGGTTTCCCAGTCCTCATTGGAGACTCCTACAACCCATTCTGATTGTGTATACATTGCCAAATCTCTTGTAATTCGACGTTCAGGGTAAATCATTGTGGAACCATTTTGCCCAAGGCTGTGCAGCCAAAAAGAGCTATATACGGCTCCTTTTTCAATTGTTTGCGATATTTTACACGTTTTCTGACCCAGTAGTGCATAGAGCCTTGAATTTTCGTTGAACAATTTTAAATCCTGATTCATCAATGTTCACAAAGTTCACAGTTCCTCAAATTCGTTGATATCAATGTTTTCCTGTTTCAAACACTCTTCAATTTCTTTTTTAATGTGAGAATTATTGATTTTTGAACAAGCTTTTCCTAAAAATGTTGTTATTTGTTTGCCAGTGATTGAATATCCTGCTAAATATTTAAAGCCCAATTTTTCGAGGGAAATGTTTTGGAAATATATCTTTGATGTCTGATTTTAGCAACACAATTAGAAGCAATCATAACCAATCTTGTCTCAGTGACAGGAAATCTAATTTTTGCAATGTCTTCGTTTTTCTGTTCTTCTTTGGTGGTCAAAATAGTTTCAGGACCAGATCTTGATGATGGCAAAAACATTATTTTGCAAAGTTGAGTAAGGAATTAAAAACTTTGCAGGAGTTTCTCTGATTTTTTTCTGTTCTCTTTGCAATTACAACTGCTTCAGACAGTTGGTTCAAAGTGTAACTCTGCTCTGAAGACTTTTTTTTGCTTGCTAGAACCAAAAAACAACACGAAAACTAGTTTTTTCATGTTTAATTTCAAGTGATCCATACATTTTTACTTCTCATGAGAAAAAACACAAAAATAGATCAAATTTTTATTGTAAAATCAAGTCATTATATTAGATTTTTCAAGCTAGTTCATTGAAAAACTAGTTAAACATCTTTAGCTTTGATTTCTGCCTTTTATTACCATTAATAACAAATGGTTCAAGCAAAAAAAATTAAAAACTTGCTTTTCTAGCAAAACAGTAACAATGTCATTTTAACTGTTACTTTTTGACAGCTTGTAATATTTTTGCAGTTTTCTTCTTTTTTTGAGTTGTAACAATAACTATTACCACATTTTAATTGTAAATTGTTAAAATTTACAAAGAAAAGTGAGACTGATCCATTTTTGTGGGTGATCCATAATTGTGGGATAACTGTAGTTTTATATATGGTTTTTTTCAGATCATCTGGAAAAAATAATAAATATAGATGCATTATTTTAACCATATATATTTACATATAAGATTTTTTTCAGATGTAATTACATCTGGAGGAAATTCTTCCAGATGTTTTTGGACTTGGACAAAAATTACCAGATGTAGTTACTTCCTAAAGATGTTGCTAGGGGTAAAGGGTTGTTGGAGTAAAAAAAAAATACAGATGATTTTGGACAAAAGTGTACAGATGATCTTGGACTATAATATAAATAAATATAAATTTTGTTGTGGTAATCTTTTATGTTAGTTTTATTAAGCTACAAGTTTTTATCTCTTAGAGTTTCTTGGTTTATTGTGTGTTATATATTATAAATAGCTTTCATAATAATGTCTTTTTTTCACTTATGATCATTGTTTTAAAATAAAACAAGATACCAATCCTAATAAAAAAAGGTCACACAGTTAAAGCAGATGTGTATTTTATTTAATCTGTTATTTTTTAAAATATTTTAGTTGTCTTTTGATTTTTTTTTTTTTTTTAGTTTATTTAGAAAATATTATTTTGTAATTGTTTTTAAAATATTATTTTGTATATTATTTTAAGGTCTTAACTAAGTGTTGTAGTATATTAATTGGACTGATAAAAGTGTTGAAAAAGATTTTTGTACCTAAACAGTGTTTACTATTATGAGATAATCTAAGTATAAAACAACATCCAAAATTGGTTGACAAATTGTCAAGATGGTGCAAAAAAAAGATTTTTATCAGCACCAAAAATATCGTGCCTTTATGAAAAAGAATTAGGAATCAGGGTCATTTACTATATGAGATTGATACAAAGAGATTTAAAGCAAAAAATCATTCTTTTTAAAAACCAGAAGAAGACTTGCATTAGCTAAGAAATATATTAACATGCTGTTATAATTCTGGAAAAAAGTTTACTAGTCAAATTTTAATCTTGTGAAGTCCGATAGAGCTCAAGAAGAAAATTGAAAATTGTGATTGGGAAAACATTTTTGTTTAAACACATTTAATATTGTTGAGTTTTCAGAAATTTAAGTTAATTAAACTAATTTTTTTGACAAATTCTTTATTAAATTTGCTTTCATAATAATTTCTGAAAAAAAACAAAAACACACACAAATTTCTGGAAAAAAAAAACACAAAAACACACACAAATTTCTTAAAAAACACAAAAACACACAAATTCCTGAAAAAACACAAAAACACACACAAATTTCTGGAAAAAAAACACAAAAACACACAAATTTCTTAAAAAACACAAAAACACACACAAATTCCTGAAAAAACACAAAAACACACAAATTTCTGAAAAAACACAAAAACACACACAAATTTTAAGATTGTATTTTTTTAAAGATTTTATTTCAATTTTTTTCATTAATTTAAAGATGTTTTAATTTTTTTATATTTGTTATAATAATATATTTAATTTTTTTTTTGTTATAATATATTTAATTTTGCTCTCAAAATTTTTGATAGGATTTTCGGGAGAAGAACAGATCAAGTAAACAGTTTAATCACCTGTCTGCTATTTCAGAAGGACTTCCATTTTTAGGTTGGGTTGGCGTGGTAAGTTTTTATAACTTATACACATAAATTATTTTTATTATTGCTTCATATATCATTATTGCTTCATATCATTAAGATTAAACTTTAAAAAATGTATGTTAACAGTAATCTAAAATGGTTTACTGTTTTTTTAAGAAGTTTAATTTTGGAATATATGCACATTTATAAAAAATGTATGTTAACAGTAATCTAAAATGGTTTACTGTTTTTTTAAGAAGTTTAATTTTGGAGTATATGCACATTTATAAGTTGTAAATAGTTATACCTTCAAGTTGAAAAAATATATTTAAATCAACTTAAAGTTTATTTAAATGAAAAAATTCATTTAAGTGATGCTGGTCTAAATTTTAAAATGTTCAAGTCCAAATTTTCTAATTTTCTTTTCAAATATTAGTAAAGTTAGTATAAGTTAGATTGATTTTTAATCGACTTATTTTTAATTGATAATTTTGATTGAAATGGTTTATTAAAAAAAGACTTTAAGATTCCTTTACAAACCTACTAAACAGTTGAAATTATTTGTTGTAACTAAAAAAAATTTTTTTTTTTTACTTTACACCAGAGTATTAAGTTATAGAGTATTAAATTAAAGTTTAAAAATGTTTTTGTTATAAAAATGGTTCATTAACTTTTTAACTGTCTTTTTTAAGGCACCCAAGCCTGTTCTATATATTCAACAAATGGAAGAATCTGCACAGTTTTATACAAATAAGTTATTGAAGGATTTCAGAGAGTAAGTATTAAAGTTTTTAAAGATTTTAATAATAATATTTTATCAATTGTTGATTTTAACCCGAGCATTAGTGGGTTAAAATTAAGCTATGGTTCGGTTCGAATTCTTATTTAATGGTCGTAAGTTATAATCTTTTTGGAATGAGGGAGGGGTTTTTTATCTAGTTAAATTTTACAAATGCGTCTTTGCTACCAAATATTATAATTTTTTTATAGAGAAGAGAATATTCTACAATAGAAGAGTACTAGTGTTCATAATGAGTACTAGTGTTCATAATAAGTACTAGTGTTTATAATAAGTACAAATGTTCATAATGAGTACTAGTGTTCATAATGAGTACTAGTGTTTATAATAAGTACTAATGTTCATAATGAGTACTAGTGTTCATAATGTGCTCATAATGTTCATGTGCTTGCTTCATAAACAAGACATTCTAAGTTCGATCATTGCCATGTAGAGACATGGTGAGGATCTACCAGACATGGCTACGATACTACCAGAGGGTAGTACCAAGCTCAACTTGTTCCTCCTCACAGTGGCCTTGTTTGTCAAGATTCGTGTTTAAAGTGTTGAGAGAGGGTTATAACCACAAAGTATCTTTTACTGTGGCAGCCTTTTTGGCCTTAAAAGGTGAATAACATTTAAAATAAATAATAATGACTACAAAAAAATTCTTTATTTGATCAGTTGAAACATTAAAGTAGATAAGTTATTACTTAATATGGTTTCCAGGATGATCTGGGTTTTGATGGGTTTTTTTTAAAGATAGTTTAATAAGTTTATAAACTATTATAACCAACATTAACATTATTTATGCGGCCATGGCGCAGTGGTTACAGTGCTTACTTTATAAGCAAGAGATCCAGGTTCCAAACAAGCTCTGAACATATTTTCACATCAAGGTAAGGAATGAGACATGAACTTCCTGGTTAAATGTACTTTTGTGGTGCTCTGTGACAAGACCATTAAAAGAATGTTGTATATGGGAAACAATTTTAGAATTAATAGAATGTTTAATATGTTGTCTGTTTTAGTTAAAAAACAGATAACACACATTAAAACACTTTATGCTAAAAACACATATTAAAACACATTAAGGTAAAAAAATTATTATTTTTAGTTATATCCATTTTTATTATGTTCTTGACACTATTCTATAATATTGTTGCAATTTTTTGTCCTGTTTTTAAATTATTATTTATAATTTGATTTTTTTGTGTTTTTAACTATTGTTACATTTGAAATCCGAGCTTTATTTTAAATATAATTTAAAATAAGCTTGGTATTTTTATTTTTATTTTAAAAAGCTTATTAACCCTGCGTTCTGTATTAACTTATTTGATGCAATATTTTGTCAATAAAGTTAACTTATATTTGGTCAATATAAATTAATTTATATTTGGTCAATAAAATTTATTTATTTTTAATAATAAAGTAATTTTTTTTCAATTTATTTTAAATGCATTTTTATAAATGTATTCTTTCAAAAAGGTTTGAAGAAAGAAACCTTTCTGTCATAAGAGGTCATCTGTTTCTTTTTACTTTTCTTTATATTTTTTTCTTCTTTCTATTGATATAGAGGCTTTTATTAATATGAAAGGTTAAAGTTTATTATAAATAATTAACTAGATTTTTGTCATATTATTTAAGAGAGCTCTTTAATTAAGAACTATTTTGTTTGTATTTCATTAGATCTGATCCTAAGCAAGCTAATTGGGCTACTTCATTTATTCAACTGCTGAAAAGTTTTTCAGGTTATGTTAAGGACCATCACCAGGCAGGATTAACGTGGAACAAAGAAGTAAATATAGTATATATATGCAACATAATTTAAGTCTTTTTGTTTGGTGGTTTAAATAGACACTTCTATACCATTATTCGAATGTTATATTGCATTGAAAGTTGTTATTATTATTTTCTTTAGAAACCTGCAGCTACACCTGCAGCATTAACTTCTAAAAAACCAACTATTTCTTCAAAACCAGCTGTGCCTCCAGGGCCACCTGGTGGTTTTGCACCTCCACCACCTCCACCTGTGCAAGCTCCTACTGCAACTCATACATCTGTTGAAAATCATGGTGCTGAAGACTCACGATCACAATTATTTGCACAGCTCAGCAAAGGAAGTGACATCACATTAGGTAACATTTTAATTAGTTTTAATTATTTGCACTGCTCAACAAAGAAAGTAACATCACATTAGGTTATATTGCTTCTAGATTTAAGTTTTTCAAAAAGAATTTGTTTGACTTATATTGGATATATTTTTTTAGGGTTAAAGAAGGTTACAGATGATATGAAAACTCATAAGAATCCTGAACTCCGTAATCAACCACCTGTGAAAAGCTCAGTATTAGACCCTAAACCTTATGCTCCCCCTAGTCTTAAAAAGTTTAGTGCTCCTATTTCGAAGCCTGTTAAAAAACCAGCAGTATTTCAGTTGCAAAATAAAAAATGGCTCATTGTGAGTTTTTTTTTTAATTATGTTTAAAGTATTTTATCAATTATATCATTCATATTATTAAAGTTATTTTCAATAACATATAAAAATTGTGTTATTTAAGATTACCCAATCTTCCTACTGTTATTATCAGTTACATATTCATAAATGTTTTTAAGGTTACCCAATCTTCCTACTGCATTGTACTTTCTATCAGTTACATATTTAAAGATGTTTTTAAAGATTTCTCTGCTTTCATGAAATATTTTGAGATTACTCTGCGTTCATGAAATTTTTTGAGATTTTTCAATTTTCTATGGTTTTCAATTTTTCTCACAAAATTTATTTTAATCTAAATTTCAAATTTAGAGATTTTATTATAAAGTTGCAACAGACTTAATATGATTTTCAAGATTTATAATCCTGAGAATTATTTTTCAACGTTAAAAGAAGAAATAATTAGATAAGACATAAAGTAGTAAACTGATCAAGTATGTATAATATATATGTATATATTTAGGCCTTGGCGGGAAGCAAGAACTTTAGCTCTGGCTCTCATTCACACTCCTTTAAAACGGTTTACGGGAGCAATTTATGGCTCTCGCAAAAGTATAATTTTTTCGTTTAAAAATATAACAATCATTGTAACTAAAATAAAAAACGCAGTCATTTTAATAATTATTTTTATAAATTCTTAAAATGCCTGCATTCTATTACAATAAGAAAATAAAAAACTTTTTTTATAAGCAGTAGAAACAACGCTCGTCAATAATAAATGAATGACACTTGTTATGTATATATTGTTATGTATATATTTGTCTTGTAATATTAATGTTATAAACGTATGCTTGACATGGTAAAACAAATCTACGAAAATGCAAACTTTAGTTTAAAAAAAACACACATTACAGATGTAATGTGTGTTTTTTTCAAAACACATTACTTCAGTAATTTTTTTTCCAAATAATTATGCGATTGATAGTTTTTTATTCATTATAAAAAACACATATTTATGATAAAAAAACAATTAGTTACTAAAATTTAAAACACATTTTAAAGACTTAAAAAGAAACCATTCTAAAACATGATTATTTCTTTCAATAGTGTTACTATTAAGTAAATTATGCGTTAACCTTAAGCATGCAAAGTTTTAGTTAAGATCAATGCATTTGCAATTACTTTAAAACATGCTTAAACATTTGCAAAACATTTAAACTTATTTCTATTAAGCTATTGCGATATTCATAAAAGTCGAAATTGTCGATACTACGATATTACATAAACACAGTATCGAACTTCGATATTGAAACATGCGGTAGTGGTGTAGTGGTAGAGCGCTCGCTTCATAAACGAGTGGTTCGGAGTTCGATCCTCACCACGTCCCTGGTAGTACCGCGCTCAATTCGTTTCTCCGCGCAGCGGCCTTGTTCATCAAGGTTCGTGTTTCAGAGTTATAGAGTTGAGAGAGGGTTATAGCCACAAATAAGTAGCCTCCTCGTCTGTAATGGCCTTCTCGGCCTTGAGGAGGTGAATTAAAATAAAAAAATAAAAAAAATAAAAAAAAACTGGATATATTTTTACTGAATTTCGAACTTATCGATATTCAGTTCGATATTTTACGATATTATACGATATTAAACGAGATTCTAGAATTTTAGAATGCTATTTTTGTGTTCAAGACCCATTTTTTCTAATTAGAGGAATTTGAAGGGTCTAATACCGTAAGTTATCTTCAATATTTGAAATATGTTTTAGCAATTTGGATAAAAAATTATAGCTCAATTAATTGTATATTTTTTCATAAACAGTTTTACAAAACAAAAATTAGTCTATCGCGTCAGCTGATGAAACATTTTCTTCCTCGATTAGCCATTTTTTAATAGTAACTTTACTAATGTTGATTTTAACGTACTCAAGTTTTTCTATTGTCTCGGCTTTTAGTAAAGTTCTTTTACATGACACAATATTTCCGGCTTGTGAAAACACACGCTCTGAAGAAGTTGATGACGCTGGGACACACAAGACTTTCTTAGCAGCTCTAGACAAAATTGGAAGTTGAGGTGAATGAATTTTCCACCATTCCAAAATATTGTAATTTATTTTATCTGGAAATCCAAGCCTCTTGTAAGCTTCTAGTTCTATAACAAATGGAGAATCTTTTGATGATCTGTAAAGCTCAGAGGCATTAGAATCCTGACCCATCATTTCAAAAAGAAGTTGTTCGGCAGGAGACAAATCTTGTTTGGGTGACACTGTTTGTGTTGTATTTTCAATCAAATTTGATGGTTGCTTTCCTATTGAAATTTCTTTTAAATCTCTGAGAAATAATTTTATTAAATTTGATTTTCTCAGGTATGACATCATTACATGCTTCCATAATTCTCTGTTGACTGTTGATTGATTTGTGAGTTCGTGCTGAGAGTGTTTTGCACACCTTGAAATAAAAAATTATTTTGGTTAAAAAAAATATATAAAAAAAAAAAAAACATAGGATTTGAAAGTTATTCATTTGTTGGTTGCACCTTTATGCAGGTAAATGGTATTGATGCATTCTTTAAAATTTTTTACTATTGAGAAAATAGACTATCGTATTTTTCATAGTTTCGTAAACAAGAGGAGAAAATGACTAAACATTTTTTTTACCTGAAAAACTTTTTCAATCTCATCGACTTCTTTGACAGATTTGATAATAACAAGGTGAAGTAAATGTGCAATGCAGGAAATACTTTCATCAATTTTGGCCGATTTTTTCATCCCAGATATCATAATTGCTGCACTATCTGTGACAGAAGTCATTTTACAACCATTATTGAAAGGTAGAACAGAAATTAATGTGTCTGTTTTAATTGAAATATTGTCACCTGTGTGGCTGTCTGGAAAAGCATTACAGCCCAGCAAAAATGTCTTTAGTTCAAAGCCAGTTGTAATATAATGAAGCGTCAAGGCTGCAAATGACTCATTGCTTTTGCTGGACCAAAGATCTGAAGTAAATCCAACTGCATCTACATTTTTAAGTCGTGTTAAAACATTAAGAACTGCCTCAAAAACATTAGAATAAAGGATTGGAAGTTTGTTTCTTGAATATGTTGATGGTGCTCTAATAATAATTTCTGGACGAAGGCTTAATAAAAAGTCTTTAAAAGCAGGTGATGAAACATGTTGAAAAGCTAAATTTCCCTTGCACAAATATTTCACAATATCCAAGTCAGCTATTAACTGTCGCTTGTCGTTTTTTCCATATTTTGTCACAACCTTGCAATACGATGAAATGTCCATCTTTACTCTTTTTGCACTTAGAGCTATTGGCTCATGAGTGTCCAAAATTGATTCTTGTGCAAGCTGCTCAGCTGTTGTTTCTGGTGCTCGTTTTAAATTTTCTTTCCCAATGTTGAGAAAAATTTCATTATGACAACCTCTGATGTGAACCTTCAAACCAGTCGTAGTGCTCTGTTTGGTGCCTATTTGTGTTGGGCATAGCTTACACTGAGCAGTATCTTTTTTTGGTGTGTCTCTTAAAAAATACGCCCAAAAGGGACTTACTCTTGGCATTTTCAACAAAAAATATCACAACTTTCCTCACTTATAACTTCTATTAGTAACTAATTTTGAAAAAAATATTTATAAGGTTATATCAAGTATTTATCGAGTATTGAACAAAAATTAAGACATCAATTTTTGGTAAAGCTACAGTTAAGCGGCCTAAAATAAATTTACTGTTTCGCTTTTTGCGCTCTCGTTCGTAGAGACTTTAAAATATTAACAAAATATAAAAGCAAAGAAGATTTATTTTATTCTAATAAGAGCAAAGTAAATTTATTGTTTAGAAATAAGTTGTTTGCGGAATTTAATGTTTTATGCTTTATTTTATATATTGTTTTCTTATTATTTTTTATATATTATTTGCTATTATTTTTTTTTTATTTTATTACTATTATATTATATTTTATTTATAAAAATATATTTATTATTATAATATCAAAACTTTGATTATAATTTACCTTGATTATAATTTAATTTGATTATAATTTGATTATAATTATTATATTTAATAATTAAACTTTGATTATAATTTACTTATAATTTACTTTGATTATAATTTATATTTACTTTGATTATAATTATTATTTATTTACCTTCAACTTTAATATAAAACTTCAACTTTTAATTAAATCTTTTAATTTCAAATTCACAACCCGTAACATTTATTATTACATAACATAATTAAGTTTCGCTTTAAAAATACGCTCCATCGTGTTTTTAAAAAGCGAAAAAATATAATTATTTTAGGCCGCTTAACTGTAGCTTTACCCAATTTTTAATTTACACTTAATTTTTAGCATTTTTAATTACTTTTCAGTTTGGTAGGAAAGTTTAGCTGGGAAATTTTAGGAGGGACAGTTTAGAGTATAACAGTTGATTTTTATTAAAGTTTGAATATTAGTATCGATATTTTAGTTTGAATATCGAGAATCTTTCGATATTGCTGTGAAAGGATATCGAATAATATCGAAACTTCGATATTATTAAAAAAATTACAATATCGACAATTCAATATCGAACCTGGTCAAAATGTCGATATTTTAGCATGTTTCGATACTACGATACTGATATCGCAATACTTTAATTTCTATAGTGTGCTTTTTTTTTAATTTCCTTATTTTTCTTTAAATGAAATAATGTTTATTTAAATATTAAAAACACTTTTGAAATGTTTAAAAAGAATATTTAAGTTTTGCTGAAATATAAACAATCTAATAGAATATATAGAATTAATATGTTTTTATATATATATTTTTTTATTGTGCTTCAATAATATGAGATTTTTATTAATCTATTATTAAATACTTAATATGATATTATTTTTAAAAGTTTTAAAAAAGAAATATCAAAACAACTTTTATTTTCAGCTCTTTTTAATTTAATTTCTTCAAGTTTTTACCTTGTTTTATTTGTAAATAAATTTAGCAATCTAAATTGAGAAAAACTCTTTATTTAGGATCAAAGGATAACAATTTATAATCATTAAGTCATTGCATATTAATTATCATTAATCGCACACTTTGCAAATGCGTTAAAAATTTTTTTGAAGAAACAAAATTGAATTCAATAAGCATCATTGATACATCTAACAACTTTTTAACTAGAATAAAAATAATTTGAAAATAAAACTTTCTTATATGACATATATCTCTAAAAATTAGAGGCTCGTTGTTAAATAAAGATAAGATCATCAACATTTATTTAAAAAATGCATAGCTCACCATGTTTGTTTTAGGAGAGCTTTTTGCTGCTTATGCACTGATTTCTGACTGCCGAGGCCTGTATATATATATATATATATATATATATATATATATATATATATATATATATATATATATATATATATATATATATATATATATATATATATATATATATAAGAATATATAAGATTTTCATAAGATTATTTAAGCTTCTCTGGCCTAGCATCAGGAATATAAGAAAATGCCTATATGTAAGAAGCTTTCTTATTTTCTCAAAAATAAAATTACTTTCAGCCTCAGGAGTAGTTCTCTTTGCCCTAACCAAAAAAAAGTTTGTGATTCTTTCATCTTTGAAGTAATAAAATCAAAGAAATAAAAAAATTTCAAAAAAAATTATTTTTTTTGTAACTTTTAATTTAAAATTAATAAATGTTTTCTATATTTATTTTATTTCTATGTTTTCTATATTTATTTTATTTCTGTGTTTTCTATATTTATTTTATTTCTATGTTTTCTATATTTATTTTATTTCTATGTTTTCTATATTTATTTTATTTCTATGTTTTCTATATTTATTTTATTTCTATGTTTTCTATATTTATTTTATTTCTATGTTTTCTATATTCATTTTGTTTCTATGTTTTCTATATTTATTTTATTTCTATGTTTTCTATATTTATATTTTCTGCTTTATGTATTACTTACATATGAATTTTATGAAGCATTTTTTAATGAGATGGTATAAATACATTTTATGAAGCGTTTTTTAATGAGATGATATAAATACATTTGAAAAGTTAAAAAAAATTTCATGTTAAGAGAATTTTTTATTTTATGTTTATAAATCACTCATTCACAATAAAATATTTTTTATTCATGTATGTTGTTGTTTTTTCTTTTAGGAACATCAAGAAGGAAATAATCATTTAGAAATTGCACAGTGTAATGACAAACAAACTGTTTACATGTTTAAGTGCAATCTATCAACTCTTCATGTCAAGGGGAAAGTCAATTCAATTATTTTAGGTATATTTTTATTAAAATTTACAGTGTGGTGCATATTTAAAACCTCACCAAAAATTTAGGATCTCACATAAATGATCATTTCTAAATTATTCCAATGCTTAGTTTTGCTTAGTTTTTTATTTGTAATGCAGTCTGGTTTTATTTTCATCAATTAATTTGAAAATATTAGAAAAATAATGGTGCAAAACTATAACCTTATTTTTAATTTTATTCAAATAAAATTGATAATGTGTTATGTGTGTGTTTTTTTAATGTTATTCAAGACCAAGAGGACTACTACAGTTGAGAAAGCTCAACTTGTGGTTACAAATTATAATTGGTTAAAGTTACAAAATGGTTACAATTGTGATTACAGCCCTCTCTCAACTATTTAACTCTGACACACCAACTGTGAAAACACGAAAAATGTTAGTTTCAATTTTTTATCAATACTTTGCTTTATTGTTGCAATTCTGAATAACCTCAAATATTTGATTTGGTTTACTTTTCAAATGTTTTCTGAAAGCAATATGTTCCAAACATGTACAATTGCCTTTTTCAATTCATTGAAATTTAAATATTGTTTCTTTTTTGCCTAAACACGTCTTGTTAAGATGCCCAAAATGTTTTCAATAGGTCAGATGAGAGTGCTTGCCATTCCAATAATTTAATTTTCTTACTTGTCAACCATAGGATATTTGACTTTGCTTTATCAATTGGAGCATTATCTTGATGGAAAATAAAATTTGAGTTACCAAGTTTTCGTGTAATACCATTCAAACAATTATCCAAAATATTTCTATATCCTTCAATTTCCATATACTTTCATTTAATTTAGTAGTAATAAAGCCAAGTTGGCTAGCGACATGCACAATTTTTTGCTGTTGGTAATCTGTAAGTTTCGGTTTTCTACGACATCAATGCTTTGAAAAGAGTAATTCTATATAAAACATAAATTGTAGCCATAAATTGTAAATTTTTGTTGTATTCAGATCTGAATAGAATAGATTGTTATCATGCATAAAATAATGCTATAATAAAACTGTTCAAGAAAAAATCATGATAAAATTTGTGTTATTTATAACATATATATAACATTGTGTTGCTAAACTTTTTCGAAAGCTATCTTTTGACTGTACTTCGTGAATACAATGGTAACTTCTTTCATTGAAACATTAGTATAATGGTGTAAATAAAAAGTATATACTTTAGCATTGAATAAAGAAAATTCCCCTTATATCAAACTAATATCTTATACAAGCCAAAGCTTTAGTCAAACTTTTGTTAAGTTGAACCATTTTCCTTGGTCACTGGAAGGTTTGAGTTATCGATAACTAACTGTATAATTTGAATTAATTAAAGTGTAAATATATTGGTGTTTCCAAAACTTCTATACAAGTGAGGTTATAAATCTGCACTGTAATCTACTTGTGAGTAACAATACTTTGAAATTATCTAAATTAATATATTTATTTGAATGAGCTGTCTTATGGATGTCTAGAGTTGCTAATAAAACGCTTTTTTTTCCTTTGGCCTTTTTTTGGGTCAAAAAAAAACTGTTTTTTTTTTTTTTTTTTTTTTTTTTTTTTTTTGTCTTAAAATTTGGAATAGTTTTCCGTTATTCTAGTATATTTTCAGTATATGACTATTAAAAGCACAATTAGATGGAAAACACCAATTTAAACATAAGTTTAATAAAAGATTAAATTAGCTTTAAGTTAGTTATTATACAAGTTATTATATCTATTCATACTGTATGGAAATGTTTATTTCTCATGTTGTACTAACAACTATAATATTCTTATTATATATAGAAACTATTATTACCCTATAAGAAAGTTACCATTTTAATTTTGATAATGTAAATATATTAGTATATAATACCATGTAAATTTAATATCAGGCTTCAAATGCTAAAAAAAATAAGCAATCTATCGAGATTTACTTGTTTGAGCATTTGTTTATTGTGTAGTAATTTAGTATTACATTATTTGTTTGTTATATTTGTCAAAAAATATATATATTGCTAGTGGGCCCTTTTAAAAAAAAAGTTATTATTATTTACTGATTTTTGCAGACCACTTTCACCTGATGGTTCGTAATTTATTTATAATTAATTTTTGTCTGCATTTTTTTTTTTTAATTACATGATTTATTTATCAAGACATTTTCATATAGCATTATATCAGAAAATTTTAAACATTTCCATAGCATTTTATATTCAGACAAAATTAAACTTGAAAAACAAAGCAAAAAATTTTTCCTTGTTTTTCAAGTTTAATTTTTGGACATAATCTTATGGCAAAAGCAACGCTTAACTTTTTCCATTTTGCTAAATTGTTGTTAAAACGCTTCATAAAATGTATTTATACCATCTCATTAAAAAATGCTTCATAAAATTCATATGTAAGTAATACATAAAGCAGAAAATATAAATATAGAAAACATAGAAATAAAATAAAATTGCTCATGTTATGCATATATAGATATTATGGTGTTTTAAAACCCCAATAGATAGAAAATCACTACTAAGTGTTTTTAATGTGGTGTGTTTATCTTTTAAGTTAATCTATTTTTAGATTCTATTGCATAAAAACTATAGTTTTATATCAAATTTAAATAATATCAGAATTAAAAAACCTTGAATGGTAAGTCTTATTTATTTCCAGTAATTTCTGGGATACCTCAAGGCTCTATTGTTGGTCCTGTTTTGTTTCTTATCTGCATTAATGATCTTCCCGACAACCTTACTAAAGTAGCTCTTTTTGCTGATGACTCAAGTTTTTACTCTTGTCTTGACCAAAAGTCTTCTCTTTTTGAGCACTTAAAACAGGCAGCCAATTTTGAATCTGATCTCACTTCTGTAACAGATTGGGGCTCACATATTTTGGCTTATAAATTTTAACTCCAACAAAACACAATTATTTACTGCAAACAACTACCACAATACTGTCGACATTCCTATATTAATAAATGGCAACCCTCTCACTGAGTCCTCTATTTTACATCTTCGTGAATTATCCTTTATTACTGACTTTTCATGTAAACAAAATATAAAATTGATTGCTAAATTAGCATCCTTTTATCATGATTTTCATTTTCTTACCCCTCATTCCATTCTCTACCTCTACAAATCTCTTATTTCTCCCTGTACGGAATACTGTTGTCATAATTATGCTGGTTCTTCTAATGATGCTTTTTTTTTTCTAAACAAGGTCTAAAAATGCATTGTAAACGTAGTTGAAACCGCTCTACCTGTATAGCTTGAGCTTCATTGCCATAAAGTTGTTTCTCTTTCTCTTTTTTTACAAATTCTATCATCTCTAGCTCCATCAACAAAAACTCATCGCTTGACTCTTCATTCAGCTAAGTCTCATTTATTTACTGCATGCTCTTTAAATTATTATTTATTTATTTTTTTATCCCCGTTTTAAGTAACTCTCCCTAATTTTCATGTTTTCTTAATTTATAATTCAGCCTACAACTCTCTAAGTCTTTTGTCAATGCTAGTGTGTGTGTGTGTATATATATGTGTGTGTAAATATATATATATATATATATATATATATATATATATATATATATATATATATATATATATATGTATGTATTATATATAAACATGTATATTTATTTTTATATCTACTATAGTGTATTTATAAAAGCATTTGCTCACTTTTTTTTGTTTATCTTGTTATCTAATATGGCCCTCAGTTGATGTAGCAGTACTCGGCTGCAAGTCAGGCTATTTGTCAGTCGATGTATGTACTGAAGCCCCCAGCAGCAGGCTATTTCAGTATGATTTCACACATCTCACCTAAATCACTAGTATAAGATATATATATAAGTGTGTGTGTGTTTGTGTGTGTGTGTGTAGAAAGTAAAACTACGGTATATACTGTAGTTTTACTTTCTACATACAACTTTAAGTTTCATGCAATCATCAGGTGAAACACATTTTTTATTAAAATATATAAATACAAATAAAACTGTTACATAAAACTATTGTTAAGAGTAGATTTAATCTTCAGGTTTGTGGTATCTTAATAAGAATTTAATTTTGTAATGATAATAGGAAGTCATCAGCTCTGTTTTTTTATTAAGTAGCATTTTTTTAAAGTAAAATAATAGTTTTTCATATAAACAGAGTTTTTTTTTGTTTGATTTTGACCAAGTCAACTCAGGTATATCTTTGAATTTTTACTTAGTTTGTCATATAAATTTTGAAAGGTTGCATTTAAAAGTTTTTTATTTTTACATGATTGCTTATGAATTACATATCTATTTTTCCACACACCTTCTGATGAACCTAGTTTTATCTTGTATTTCCAGGTTTAAATTGTATTTCATCTGATAATTGCAAAAGTATGAAACATAAAGTTATGGAAATCACATAGTTTTATTTTCTACATACATATTATTGCCAATCTTCAACTGCATTGGGTAGTTAATGATTGGGCAAAAGTGATTTGGAGTGATGAGTAATATTTTCAGGTTGTGAACCACAAAGGAAAAATATACGTTAAAAGATTTTCAACTGATAAATATTGCGAATGCTGTTTACAAGCAAGACGACATGGTGGTAGGCATATGGGGATGTTTTTTTTTAGAACACAAATTTAAATATAATTATTTATATATATGGGGATGTTTTTCCCACAAAGCCCTTGACATTTATGAGCTTTATAATGGCTGTATCAACTGATATACCTACAAAAACACACTTAAAACACATTTGATTCCATGGATAAGGCAATTGTATGGCAGAAGCAAGCAATAAATCTTTCCAGCAAGGCCAGGCTCCAACACATACAGCACATAGTATAACATACTGGTTTAACGCAAAGAAGATCAATTTGTCGCCTTGGTGCCCTAGATCACCAGATATCAACCCAATAGAAAATATTTGGTCATTGATAGACACTTAATTAGTAAGTTCAATCAACTGAGCATTTAAAGCAACTTCTGGATAAGTAATGGTTAAAAGTGACACATACAATGTGCACAGGGATGCTTTCCCAAAATTTATTAACCGGTTCGCAGTGATATTTTCTTACAAATTTTTTTATTTTTTTAATATTAATATTTCCATCAAAATAATATGGTTGTCAGAGTGGCAGACTAAGTCAAGAATATTTAACTATCGTTCATATTCTTTGCAACAATAATGTAATAGGATAAAAGAGAATAAAAAAATAATTCAACGAGGTGAAAATCACTTTTATTTTATTCATTCATTTCAAGAGATACAAAATTTACATAAAAAGAAACTGAACATAACAAAAAATTTTGAAATTTCATATATTAGTAAATATTATTGTTATAAAGTAATTATATTATTTAAAATATTTCCAAATAGCTAATTGATTTTCAGTATATTCTTTCGGTTTAGATTTTTTAACCCTTATATCATCTACCGAGTTATGGTTCCTCAACCAAGTTTTTACATAGGGAACTGCGTTCCAATTTTCCAATGGACGACCAACTAAGTTTAATGTCATCAAATTTGATACTGTCTGCACTGTTAATCTGGCTCTAATATCAGTAATTATGATGTTCATCAATGAAAATCCTCGTTCTGCTTCAGCACTGCTAACGGCAACCGTATTAACCATATTTTTCGCTTTTTGAATGTTTTCTGCAATTTTACTAATTTGTTGATGGCCATTGTTTATTACATTTTCTACATAATCACGGAAATCATTCTTATCAATATCAAAATAAAAAAATTTTCAAAATTTATCAAAATTATTTTCGGCCTCTATCCACGAAACTACAATATCTTCAATTTTCCATGTGCTTGGCTCTAGCAAATTGGCTAGTTCATAAATAATGCTATTATCAATATTTTTTTTGTTACTATTTGATCCGAGATGAGAACAATCCATCAATCTTAATTTCATATTTTTTATGATGCTGTCAATAAGGGAATCTCTGGGAAGATTTCCATAAATTCTGTTTTCGACGAAGATAATGTTTTTGAATGCTTCAGAGTTTATAACTTCATCCACTTTTTTTTCGTAATGACCGCGACAATCTTTGAGCATTTGAAAAGCGTTAATTGTTCTTCTAATCAGTTGATCTCCCCTGGCAACATTTATATTTCTAGCTTGAATGGCATTAGATAGTAGAGAGCACTCCTGTAGGATGTCAATCATTAGAGCTAAATCTACTAGAAAACATTTGTTTTGTAGTCGTTTTGCCATTCCAGACATTTTTTGGTTAGAAGAGAACAACGTATACAAAGCAGGGTAGCTCCGCCATACAGCAAGTGCAGATCTTAGGCTGCACGCAGCCCATCTTGGTCCTAACACTCTTCCAATCTTAATTATATCCAAACTAAGCTCCTGGGAAATATCATTCAGTTCTTTTTGGTTTTTATTAGATTGATGAAAAATACAATATATTTTGTCCATGAAAACTTTTAAATGATTAACCTGTTTGATATCTTTTATGGAATCATCTAAAACAAGTTGTAGGCGGTAATTGAGACAGTGCCAAATAATAATTTTTAAATTATTCTTAACAATTGATATAAACAATTCTTTTTTAGTTTCTTGCGCGATATGCTCTACTATCTTACTTGCACTATGTCGAGAATGAAGTCCGGTTCCCATGTCCAACCCGTTTTTTACTTGAAGCTCTATTACACTTTCTATGTCTGAAAACGGACGATTTCTTTTCGCTAGACTGTAAACAGTGTTGAAGATTCTTGTAGTAGAACTAATAAATTTTTCGTTCATCTTATCGATGCATGCTGTAAAAGTTTGTTTTTTAAGTATCTTTGCATGTTCAACAGCTAGTTTGTGTGCTTTTGATACAAAATGTTCACTCATTTTTTTTCTTAAAGAAAAGTGCTTGTTGCACTATTTTGTCTATCCCCGATGTCGTAACGTTACATTTTTTCCGTTCCTGAGATATTAGTTTTGATTCCATTTTTAAACAATATTCACATCCCAATTTCCGATTACTGACAAATAGCCCATCATATTTAATTTTAAACTCCTTCAACTGTTTTGCATTCCAACAGCTTGGTAAATTATTATTGTCCTCATTTTGGGAACTAGGAATCTCTAGTATTTCTTTCTGTAAAGTTCTTGAAACTGCTTCTACCTCTGTTATAGTCGACCTGCTATCATTACTTACTGATATTTCCTCTCTTATTTTTTTTGAGAAATATGTGGTTAACATATTTTGTCTCTTCATCTACAAAAAATAAAATAGGTATTTAAAAATTCATAAAAAGGTGAATATCAGACCAGTAACCAAATAACTTTAACACAAAGCTATATTTTTATTAAAGAAAAATTATCAGAAATACATGTTAACAATTTGACACTCAAGGATTGAATTAAGGCATCTTGATTTGCGATATCTGTGAAATTATCTGGTCTTCAAAGTTTCAGTTTATGGAAAACCACGAAATTTACGGAATTAAGGCAAATAAACTTTAATTTGTTAGTGAAAATGTTATGAAAAACAAAACAATAAATTTATGACTACCAAAGTAATAACACTACAGTGTTGTTACTTTTATAACACTCTTTTAAGTTACATTTATAGTTTGTTACATTTATAATTTATTGTTTGATTAACAAATAATCAAACTATTATAAATAAAAATAATTTAGTTAAGTAATTCCAAATTTTAATTAAAGTAGTAATGCAGCTAGAAAAAATACAATGGATATTTAATGTTAAAAACTTCAGCAACTATTACGAATACTTTTGATGCTACACGTGCATGTTAATGTTAGCATTTCTAAACTGTTACTAACGGTCCGGAAAAAACGCGCGTTCACTTTAAAATCAACCAATGAAAACACTGGTAATTTACATATTAGGAGAAATCTAAATAAAAAGGGGAGGGGAGGACTAATTAACTGAAAGATTTCTATAAAGTAAAAAATCGCAATGAAAACTAGATAAAATATTCAAATTGTTTATATAAAATTGCACCAAATGGTAAATAAATTTTATTTAAATAATTTTTTTTTGCCAAAATAAAAAAATTTTATTTTCGCTTATTTTAATAGCCGGTTCGCACGAACCATAGAATTTACATCTAACGGTTCGCACGAACCGGTAGAAAAGCATCCTTGGATGTGCATGAAATTGGTTGAATCAATGCAGAGACAAGTTCTTTTTTGCTATCGAGCCAATGGAGGACATTAAATTTATTTTTTCAAAATTTTTTATGTCTTAAACTTTAACTCTATTAAACTTTTATGCAATTCATTTTATGATTATATAATTAATTTTTTTTAATTATTATTTTTTATTATCTTATTAATGTTGATTGTTTAGCTAATTGACTGTTTTTTTAAAAATAAAAATAAATTAAATCCATTTTCCAGATTTTTTTTAGTTGAAAAAACCCTGAAAAGTTTGATTGAAATGATCATCTCAATTAAACTTAATATATAATATATATGTATATATGTATAAATGTGTATATATATATATATATATATATATATATATATATATATATATATATATATATATATATATATATATATATATATATATATATATATATATATATATATATATATATATATATATATATATATATGTATATATATATATATATATATGTATATGTATATATATGTATATGTATATTGTGACTGATAAGATAACATACCATACCATTCCAATGCAATAATGTTTATTTGATTTAAATTATAAATATAAATGGTTTGTAAATAAAACTTTTTTGGTCAGTGTTGTAATAAAAAATTAAATTTCATATATTTACTGACTTATTAGTATCATTTGGTAAAACAAAATTATAAAATCATTTTAAAATTGTTTTTAGATAGTTGTGAAAAATGTAATGTAGTGTTTACAGACGTCATCGCTACATTTGAATTTACAAATTGCAAATCTTGCAAAGTACAAGTATGTCATTTTTTTATTTTATTTCTTTTTTTTTTTTTTTTTGCTAATCAAATTGCATATTTTTATAATGAATTCAAAATGTAAAATACAGTAAACTCCCAATATATTTTGAACCTCCAAGGGACCAAGAAATTAGATGAGTTATCGGAAGCATAATCCTTAAATAAAGGTTCAATAGGGATTCAAAAATAGTTCGAGTTACTGGATGTTTGAGTTATCAAGGGTTCGAAATACAGTTTACTGTATATATTAAAGAATTTTACAAATCAGTCATTTTGTAAAGAGGTAATAATTTTTTCAAGTGTAACAGTAGAAGAAATTTGCGTTGGTCTAAAATTCCATTTGTCCTTATGTTGTATAAGGACAAATGGAATTTTAATATATATATATATTATCTTAAGAGTTGCGACAATCACTTTCATATAGTGAATCAGTTACTGCTAGAGCCATGTTTTGAAAAAAAAAATTATATCATTTGACATCATTAGTCCTCCGAGGGGTCAAAATTTGTGTTTGTTTGATGACAAAGTTATTAGTTTTAAAAACTCAAGTTTTAAGGTTTTAAGTGTCTATTGGTCAAATTATTTTGTAAACTACAATCTATAAGCTTTTTACTTCAATAAACAAAATCATTGAAAAAACAAGTTTATATTAAAAATAAAGCGATTGTTTTCTGTTAGCTTGTATGGGGTAACTTGATACAGCATTTGTGGTGGGCCCTAAAACCTCCATTGTGTCATAAACAATTCTAAAAATCATTTCTTTTAAATTTAATGTCAATTTTAAAAAGATTTATGTAAATATTATTTATTGACGCTGAAGAATGACACTTAAAACAATATATTATCTGGTCTTCTGAAATGTGATTTGGAACATTGGATGAATTATATGGTTATATTATATTATATGGATGGGTTATAAATATTAATTTGTTTATATTTCAAATAAAAATCTCTATGTTTTATACTTTTTTTTTACTTTTTTAATGATGCTCGTAGTGTGTATCAAGGTACCTCATAGGTGGGGTACCTTGAAACTATCTTTTAATTTTACTTTAACTAGTCTCACAAGTTTAACCTGTTATATTTTGGTAATTTATAGAATCTATTTTCTGGGTATAAATTTAATCTACAATTTAAACCAATCGCCTAAAAAAAAGGTGTATTGAAAAAATTGTTCCAAAGAAGAAACTAAAAGTGTGTCATGGTGCCCCACTTTCCCCTAAGAAATTATTTTACAAAAATAAAAAAGGGGATAATTTCATGTAGATTTATTTATTTAAAAACGTTAAAAATTAATTAGATTGATGGTTTCGCACACACAATTTTTTTAATGTTAGACTGATGGTTTTGCAAACGCAATTTTTTTTAATTAGATCGATGGTTTCGCACCGACAATTTCAATTGAAAAGACTGATGGTGCTCAAGTTTTCATTAACCCTGCTTGCTTAGAATCACAAATTGTAACTGCCAAATCAAGTGAGATGAATATTTGTGTGAGAAAACCTGACGGAGATTTTGTAAGCATTTTTATTGGTTACTTTTGTTTTGTTTTTTTTGTTTGTTTTTAATATTTTACTTTTACTCTTAAAAAATAACTTAAAATACATTTTGTTAGAAACGATATCTACTTTGCAATACTCTAAAGTGGGTGTCATTTCTTTGTTTAAAAAAGGACAAAGAAATGACACCTGACTTGAATCCCATCAAAACTTTTTGGAAAATAATTGACAATAAGATTGAGCATGTTTTAATTTTATTAAAATATAAAAGCTGTTCAAAAATTATGTTTAATTGTTTTGATACTTTTTTTCTGTTTTTAAGATCAAGTTTTGTTTTAGAGTTTGCCCACCATGTTTTGTCTGATAATGTAAGACTTGAAGTCTTTATTTGCAGAAAACTAATTTCTCAGTATTTATCGAAACCTTAATAAGTTGTTCATATCACTATTATGTACTTACAAAATTGTTTACAATTAAAATTCTCAATTTGTAAAATTTTGCATAATAGGAGTTAAAATTTTCAACATTTAAATTATTAAAATATAAATTAGATGTTTAAAATTCTATAAAGCGGTATTTATATAATAGCGGTAATTTATAAAAAATTAAAAGTTAATAGTGCTAATTTATAAAAGATTATAAATAATTAATAGCGGTTATTTATAAAAAATTATAAGTTAATAGCGCTAATTTATTAAAATTATAAAATAATAAGATTGAGGAATTTATTAAAATTATAAAAGGAGGAGGAATTTATAAGAATTATAAAAGGAAGAGGAATTTATAAGAATTATAAAAGGAATTTATAAAATTCTAAAGATTTAAATTGAATTTAGTTGCAAAAAAAAATGTTTAGCTGTATAATTTATTCTACAGTTCTACTACTATGGCATTGAAGAAACTGAAACTTGTCTAAAGAGTGAAACTTGTTCGTGTTTTTTTTTTTTATTATTAGACTTTAGCTGCATCTTTGATATAAACCCTCATTATCATCTGTCTTTGATGTAAATCCTCATTATCATCATCTGTCTTTGATGTAAATCCTCATCATCATCTGTCTTTGATGTAAATCCTCATCATCATCTGTCTTTGATGTAAATCTTCATCATCATCTATCTTTGATGTAAATCCTCATCATCATCTATCTTTGATGTAAGCCCTCATCATCTATCTTTGATGGGAATCCTCATTTTGTAGGCACGTTTTTTGGTCTTATTGGTAATTCCCCGTTATTTAAGTGTTGATTTAATACAATTTTATTAAAATTCAACATATCAGCATCCTTACTGTATCTTTTGGGTTATTTCTTTTGCTTTGATAAACTTGTAGCGAAAATTGTAATTTTTATTCGTGAATACAATTAAAACTATTGTTGTGCTATTTTTTTGATTAATAAAATTTATGATTGGTATTTTTATTTTTTATTTTAGACTGAGTATCCGCTTCCTGAACAATTTAAAACTGTTTGGAGTCCTGCATCTAACAAGTTTTTAACAAGTACTATGGATCTCAACCTTTAGATACCATGATAAACCGAATGTTTTTTTTAATTGTCATCTAATGCGTCATGTGAATGTTGTTACTTTTGTATATGTTAAATTGAATCTTCTATTGTAAATTTTATGTAAAACTTTCCCAAAAATGTTTCGTTTTTGTTTTTTATGAATTTGTAGAATACATTTTCTAATGTTTCCTAATACTCTTTTGATGTATCTCAAATTCGTATCATATTTTGCTTTTGTTATTATATTTTTTATTTTATTAAATTAGATGGAGAGTTATTATCTCGAGTTTAAACTTTCTCTTTCCTTTGTATAAGAGTTTTGTCCCCCTTATATGAATAACTTCTTTCCAAGATAAATTTCCTGAAATCTCGCATTGGTTGGAGAATTTAGCAGAGGCAAGTGTAACAATGATTGACGCGTAATAACTAATTTCATTCAAGTTAATAATTAGTATTAAGTGCCCTCCGCGCTATCTTGAGTTTAATTTGTCAAGGACTTTTGTACAATTTATTTTTAATTTGCCATTCCTCTTAAGATTATTGTGGGCAATAAGTTGTTCGTGTGTACAATGATATAAAAATAGATATATGTATATATTTTTTTAGATTGTAACACCAATCCTTTTTTTTTTCAAAAAGGATTAGTGATATTTTGAACTCTGAAGCGCAAGCCTTCAAGGACAAAAACTTCACATTTATAATCAGACATTATTTAGGAAATAATCCATAAAAAACTATTTTTTTATGAAAATTGAAGTTACTATTTTCAAAACAACACCTAAATGGGTATCTTAAACAATGTCACGTCAGATTCAGATATATCTGAATCTAGTTTATCGATAAACTATGGCAGTGTTAATTTTCTACAAAAGTCGTTTTTGCTTAAATAATCATAAAATTTAGCCCCATTCAAAAAACTGTTTTTGGTATTTAGTATCATTTTTTGAAATACTAGTTATATGACCATCTTGAAAAAATAATTTATTCTATTCAGAATGCGTAAACAATTAAAAAAAAGAGCCAGTAAACTTTATAAACAAGTTACTTTCATTTTCAAACTCGTTTCGTATTTATATCAGTAGTAAACTTTAATTGACATTTGGTTTCTTTTATTGCTATACCAAAAATTTAAAAGTAATTTAAGCTACTTTTAACTTATTTTTACAAATACAATTATATCTTTAAATACTAACTCGGTGTAGTTAAGGCACTTTTAAAATATTATAGCGTCCGAATGATATTTTGTTGACATATTTCCATTAAATGGTCTGGTCTGTGAATTATGAAAAGACGAAAATATTAAAATGATAAATTTTATTTTTATTGTTTGTAAATTTTATTTTTGTTGCTTATCATGAAATATAAATGTTTGTAGCAAAAAAACCCAAACCGAAGATTCTTTTTTTTTTTTTTTTAAATCAACTTAAAATCACAATCACTCGTCCAAATTTGAATTAGATTTTATATTAATACGCTTTTTAGGTGAAATAAACATTATAGTTTAACAATATTATCTGTTCTAATCGTTCTTTGGCAATTTTCCATTATTATAAGCTCTTTCTTGGTCGGAATTCTAGTATTTTTTGTGAAAAATGATAGAAATATTGTGTTTTGACAACTATATATAGTTAATATAGAGCAGCCGTGGCGCAGTGGTTCTGGCTCAGAACCCAGAGGTCCTAGGTTCGACGCCAGCTCTAGCCCAACAAGTGACATTGGTACGGAAGGAGGCGTGAACTTCCTGTTAAATGCTCTCCCGCGGTGCTCTATGGTAAGACCGTAAGGACTTCTGGGAGCACCTAAATACATACAAAATATATATATATATATATATATATATATATATATATATATATATATATATATATATATATATATATATATATATATATATATATATATATATAAAGAATAGTGCTGCATAACCTCTGGCGTAGGAACACCCAACTATAACTGCTTGGCAATCGTTGGGCTGGATTGGGATTTGGTGATACCACCTATGATCGCTTGTATGGTAAAGATGCAAACACAATATATACTTAAAAAAAACTATATTAGAACAAGAGCTTATTATCAACAAGAATGTCCACACCACTCTGATTTTATTTTCTACAATTTTAATGCAAGAAATGTTCAATTCAATTATTATTATTTTTTTTAATCTATTCGATTTATATAAACATCACCAACACACTATGACGTCATCAAACACATCAATAATTATACTGAAGTATATTATTATTATTTTTTTTTTTTTAAGTTGATTAAGGTGCCCCAAGAAGTCCTTACGGTCTTATCACAGAGCACCGCGGAAGAGCATTTAATAGGAAGTTCACGCCTCCTTCCCAACCGATGTCGCAAAACTTGCCCAGAGGTGGGGTTTGAACCACGGATCTTACGTTTCTGAGGCAAGTGCGCTACCACTGCGCTACGGCTGCTCAATTTTTAACTATTCTATGCAACGGTTTATATAATTATTTATCGGAACAGATCCAATTCAAAAGCTAATAAACATTTACAAAAAATCAATAAAAATGAATTCATTTAAAGCGTTTTGATTCCAGCGGTTCTCTACGACAAGACCTCAAGGACTTCTTCGAGTTTCCGCATTCTTTATTCCTAATTTTTATTGTTATATTTATTGTTATATTTCTATTGTTAACAAAATCTTTATTGTAAATATTATTTATTTCTTTTTTTTATGTCTTACGTTTTCTTCACAAGTTATAATAGAAATTGTAGTAATGATTGTAATAAAGAATAAAAAATATATATATATATATATATATATATATATATATATATATATATATATATATATATATATATATATATATATATATATATATATATATATATATATATATATATATATATACGTCAGAACCGATTAGAAAGAGGATCAGTTGTAAATTAAGGAACTTTTTCAAAAGATTTTAACTAAATTCATGTTAATGCCGGCGAGCATTATTGTAATATTTAAAGATCTTGTTTGGAAATAATATGCTGACAAAACCATGCTAATTCCAATTAAAAGTATTCGAATATTTTGTCTTAACTACACCGAGAAGTCGAAAAATTGCTATTATGGCTTAGATAATGTATTAAGATAAATACTTTTGTTGTTAGCACAGCGCAAAATAAAATATATATTACATATACATTCCAACTGTATTTAAAAATTTTTTTTAAATATACCAAAATTTATTAAATTGTAATTAGGTTCATAAATTATGTCTAGAAAGCACTTCAAGGTATCTTTATAATTATATTGATATATCTCCTGCAAAACTGTTATAACAGACGCTTCGGTGGTGTATAATAACTTGCCATTATTTACGAATTTTTTGTTTGCACAAATTAAATACAAATAAATAAAAAGTTGTTCGGTTTGCCACTAACAACCAATCGGATTTGTTTAAAACTATCTGCGTTTTTTTTTTTTTTTTTACGAGTTTATTTGTTATATGCTTTAGTTGCATTGAGTATTTGACATAAAGAAAAGCGTTTAAACTAGATTTGCGAAAGTCTGATATAAAATGTTCTGCTAACAAACGTTGCATAACCTTGTTAGCTGTTGGAATAACTATAGACAACAAATTTTAATAAACAGTAGGAACTCAAGTCTTCGCAAAAGCAAATCAAAAACTTAGCATTCCTAGAAGAGTTGCTAGGCATCTTGACCTTCAGAAAAAGAAAATAGTATTAAAAGCCTTCTCCAAATCACAATTCATGAACTGTGCGGCGGTGTCCTCTTATGTGGATGTGTTTTAGTAAAGCAAAAAATACAAAAAAAAGCACAAAAAAAAACAGTACTTTACTGTTTTTTTGTTGCTTTTTTTTGCATTTTTTGCTTTACTAAAACACATTTAATGACTTGTTCTTTTAATGACTTGTTTACTAAAACACATTTAATGACTTGTTCAAAATCTATTTTGCAATTTTTTTGGAGTAAGTTTGGTTATTTTTGCAATTTTTAGCTATAGAAAGAAATTTGCAATTTTTAGAAATGTTCAAAATTAAAAATGATATAAAACAGGCTTCAGAGTTTTGTATAAAATGTTTTATAAAATTTTATTCCTTACCGTAAATACTATAATTTTTATTTTGTTAAACACCTATAATACAAGTAAATGGAAGTTACATTAAGATAAACGCAATATGATCATCTTGGATTTTTTTCTTTAAGAATATCCTTTTCTTTCTTTGAGTTATAACATTTTATAGGAAAACCAATTTGTTTTTAAAAAAAGTAGTTCACCGAACATGCCATTTTTCAATTTTTCGCGCAATAAGTTAAATATTATGGTTTGAAACGAAAATATTATAGTTTGAAAGTTATCTTACTAACCGTAAACAGTTTGTTTACAATAAAGATTTTATATCTCATCTATTAACGAATATAACATGTTGTCACGATCATTTCACATTCGCCTAAATCATTTTTTAATGTTGTGAGATATTAAAAAATATATAACATTGTTTTTTCTCTTGCATCACAATAAAACAAACAATAAAAACTATTTTCTAATTAATTTAAGATATCTTAAACTGATCAGAAAGTTCTTTTTTTTTTGTTTTTTATCATTTGATGCATAAGAAAAAATGGTGATTTTTTTTTAATTTCTCAAACATGAAAAAATGAAATGATGAAATGGTCGTGACAATGCCATGTTCCACATACTTTGATACTTTGTCCACTTTATTTTTTAATATAAATAAATGATCTTTATAAATCTTCAATTTTTTTTTTTTTTAGTTTACATTATTTACATGTCGTGTAAAAACTTGGAATCTTGGAGAAGATCATATTTTTTTAGTTTACATTATTTACATGTCGTGTATAAACTTGGAATCTGGAAAAAGATCATATCGATCTTGTCGCCAGAACCATATAAAAATTACAATATAAATATAATATAAAATAATACAGGTAATAACAAAATAACAACTCAAAACATTTGAAATAATAAATGGTTAAAATAGTATCTCAAAAATATATCAATACCGTTGAAAAAATAATATTCTTTAACTTGTTTTTAAAAACAGAAAAAGAGATAGATAAATCTAAATTAGGCTGGACAATTTTATTCTAGAGATAAGGTGCTCGATAATTTATACAAATTTGTTTAATAAAAGTTTG